TTGCCCACATGGGTCCCAACAACAGAGCCCACTCTGAGCCCATGCCCAGCTGAAGCCCATCCAGGCCAAGTAAGGCCTATATGGGCTTCCTAAAGAGAGGACAGGACAAAAAGCTGTATGAACCCATATCTGGGGTAAAATTAATGAGTTTTGGTGTGAGATGTGAAACTGGCTGCTCAATGCTGTTTGACAAACATAGTTAAGGATTTCTGACTGACAGTGGCCAGACATCGAGAGGGTTTTCCTCAAGAGTAGAGAGGAAAAAGTGATCATTCAGTCAGAACAGTCATCTTGTGCCGAACTCTTGCCATGGTTTCTGAAGTTGGCAATTTCAGGGTGCTTCACAACAGCTTTCACCCCCTGTAGTGATGAGTTGTGTTTTTCAAGATTTATTAATGGAGTACATGTTGTTTGGATTTAATTAACACCACTGAGCCTCCCCTGTGTCAGAGAGCAGCAGCCGATAGATAGATTCAAAGTTTTCTATCTAAGGAAAACCAGTTGATTATTGACTCGAATGCAATCCCTCACACTAAGCATGTTTGTAGCGACAGTGGAGAGGAAAAACTCCCTTTTAACAGGAAGAAATCTCCAGCAGAACCAGGCTCAGTGTGAGCGGCCATCTGTTGAGGCCGACTGGGGTTCAAGGAGACAGAAGCAGAGATACAAAAAGCAGCTGTAAAAGGCGGCCCCGTCCAGGAAACACGCAGCCAGGCAGACGAGCTCTGAGCCAACTCACATGTCAGGGGATGAAGAGAGCACATCCAGCCAGTCACAGTCAGAGAAACAGGACTACACTGGAAAACAGACCGATCTCCAACATCTATAAACAAAGGTGTTGATGGCAGCAGCACAGGTGGTAGTTCTCTCCAGGATAGAGTCACAGCCAAACAGGAACAGGTGAGGCAAAGTAGGAAACAATGCAGAGAGAGCAGAACGTTAGAGATTGAACTAACAGATTCTCCAGAGTGGGAGAATAGATAAATAGAGCAGAATGATGAAATAGGGGTCCCTGTGTCCTCCAAAAGTCTAAGCCTATAGCAGCATAACTATATATATCAACAGCTTGATATAACCTATTAGCAAAAAAATAATGCTCTTTCTGAGTAAACAGTCATAATCACAAATCTCTAGCATTAATATTACTATGCAGCAGTATGTAACCATTATACCATGTCTTATTTCACTAGACTCAATAAAGTTGAGTAATTCACAGTAATTCTGTGAACAACAGTGACACTTTTAAAGTAACTAGCAATTTTTTTGTGCAGTGAAAAATAGTTTTAAAAAAGGAGCTAAATGTAGGTCTCAGTTGCATGGGCTAAATCATTTTCATCAAGTTGTTGGATTTGCAGCCTTGGAAAAGCTGAGCTGTTTAAGTCACTCATTTTCAATGGTGGGCCCTGGGTTCTATATGTGCAGAAATAAAAAATAACAAAATAACTGAGGCAAACTCTCAAGGTAGATATATTGATGGAAACTCACAGTGCGTGCATGGGAGGTGCAGAGATGCTCGTTTGGAGATATGAGGATTAAGGCTTCAGTTCATTATAACAACTGCAGTCCTTGTTGATTTTGTTATTTAATTTTCTCTTTCTCCATCTGCTGCCTTTTTTGTATCACATGTACTCTGTATATATTTGAAATAGGAACAAAGAGTGCTTGTGGCTCTCAGTACTTAATTCAAGCAAAGAGTCTTGATCTGCAGTAGATACAGTTAAGCCTGTTTTTTCTCAGCGCTGTACTGACTGCACTGAACATCAGCATGACTATCCACTGTATGAGTATTCATAACTAAAAATACCCCCCCAACACACCCACATACGCACACACACACCCAAAAGTCCTCCTTTCCAACTAAGAGTTGATTTATACATGACTAATAAGAAGAATGATTTCATGTTCCCAGCATTGTTGTTTAAAAGTGAGTTTGAGGCTTTAACATGCTCTGCTCTCCTAGCAGCACTTCAGTGCTTGGATAGCTAATAGACCCTGGCGAACAGGAAGTGGAAAGAAGAGAATAACAAGCCACTGGAGACTTCATGTTGTTCCCCAGAGAGCCATTAAGCAAAGTTTCCACTTGTTTTATTCATATAGCAAAAAGTGATAGCAGTGGTTTCTTGCTAATTACATACAGAACTGTGTAAAGGTAACTAAGGAGATGCTCCTTAACAGAAGAATTTTCCCTCTTCATCCCTAATGGGTTTGCTTTGCTTAGTATTTCCTCTGATACATGCATGAAGGGAAGTGGATATCTGCTTAATCGTTTGTCTGTTCCGCACACTAAGGTTAGCATGCTGTTTGCACAAAACAGACTAGGAAAGCATGGCTGGGGCAGAGGGGGGGGACACTTTCTTCACGTTCACTGGCAAGATGTGATTTCCAAACTCAGGATTTGTGTCAGCCATCTGGTAACGGAGAGGAACAGGGAACTATGTCAGCATGCTACCTTTAATAATGCAGGCATGCATGCTGTCACTACAAAACCAAACATTTTACCAAACACAAGTTTCCGTGTATTAAGTATTTAAATGTTGATCTGTTGATGCTATGATCACTACTTGCCATCATCTCATTTATAGGTTTCTTTTTTTATGATTTTTTTTTTAAATATATTTTAATGCATTGAAAATTTTTTTTATCAAAAACATGCAAACGTAAATCCATGCCACAGACCCCTGTGGAGAGATAAGCACTCAGAAACTCAATTAGTTCAGTATTACATTGCAGTTATGTGGAAAATCGTATTGGTTTCAGAAATCAAAGAGAAATGGGCATGCAGGTTATGTTGAACTTCACCAGTAAAGGCACAACGGGTCAGACCTCAAGGTCAATAGGATACCACAAACAACTCTTCTCTGTCTGTATTGAACATAAAACCAAGCCCATATGTAGCACAGCCTCACCAAGAATGGAAAATAAGAGATTTTGTTAACATCTTCTCATGGTTGCTTCTAGCTTGATAATGCGCAATCTCTACAAGCAGAAATTCTGTTAAATTGAATTATTGACTATGAAAATGAGTTTACTGTCCTTCAGAGGCCTCCCCAATCAAAAGCCTCAGTCCAGTAGAAAACCAGCATGACATCATTATGTCAATAGCAACTCAAATTTCTAAAGAGTGTATCTTACAAAACTTAACAAAACTTAAAGATTTAGAGAAAACTTGAAGGGAAAATGATCCTCAACATGTAGCAGGTGGGTTTTCCCTAATAAAGTTCCTGATTTGTATATTTATTTACACAATAGAAAAATATGCATTTTGTCAGCATTTGCAGTATGTTTGACATGCCAATATCATAGCAATTTTGCAACTGGGTTTATGAATAGAAATCATTCTTGCAAAGATGAGAAAAAACATGATATCTGAATGCCAAAGTGGAGGGTGGGACTGCAGCCTTCTATAGTCAAAGTTTTGCATAATTTCCGAAATAGAGCCAGTTAATGGCATATAGAGCTTTAGACAGGAAATTCCTATATTTTCGTCTCAACCAAAACAAGCAGGTGCAGAGTTTAGGGTCACTCTTAAAATTGGTGAAAATTCCTCTCAAACATCAAAAGTATAAGGGTTAGAGTGGATTTAGCCTATAGCTGGGAGCTAGCTTCCCTGACACTACAGCATGTTTCTTCTGGGTTTGTGTTTAACAGGCTGCTATCTTCTGCTGAAATTAGCCGTGCGCTTCATAGTATACTGAGGTTTCCAGGTTGAATTGCTAGTTAGCTAAGAGCCCCAAGGCAGAGGGGCTCTTTGCATTCAGCCATTAACTTATCTCTTAGGCAAAACAAACGAAATGACATATTAAATCCTAGGTGAGTTTAAATAGTAGATTGACTACCGTAAATCTCATACCAACCACTAAGATATTTAGACTAGAGTGGCATTCACCCAGTCACTCACTAATGTGCATACCGGTACATTTTTTTGCCGATATGCAAATATGTAGGCAACTCCCTTATAATGTCTTTTAGAGGTTTTGAGAATTATTTAATAGATTTAGAAGTTTACAATGCAAGCAAAAGTTTGTGATCTTGAAGAGAGATCTGCTGTTATCTAAGAAAAATTTCATTTGCAGTAAGTGAGATCTTTGAAAAATGGTTAATGGTAAATGGCGTGTACTTATATAGAGTTTTTTCAATTCAGGAGACTTTACACCACATTCAGTCATTCACCCATTCACACACACACATCCACACACTGATGGTGGCAAGCTACATTGTGGCCACAGCTGCCCTGGGTCTCACTGAAAGAAGCGGGCTGCTCTATGCAGGCGACATTAAAAGCCTAAGCTGGGGCTTGAACCCTCCAGTCGCAGGGTAAACTTCTACTGTACATCTGACGAGACAGGCACCCAGGCAATTCATGTCAAGATAATCAGTAAAAGTACAAGAAACCCTGTAATGTCCAGTAGATGTATATTCCTCATCTCTACCAAACCATTCCTCTTAATCTCTAACCATTAAGAAATGTAAATGTTTAATCAAGCATAACACACAGAGATAAATCGAGGATTACATGCATTACCACAACAGTACTGACATAGCAGCACTTCTCACAATGGCAATGCTCTCACAAACCTTTACTACTCAATTTGTTTTAAAAAAACTAATGGGATGAATATTACCAATAAACTTATAATGATGGGGCTGAAGATGAATTACTCTAGGAATCCAAAACCTGTTAGACAAAACTTTAAATGAAGATACTAAAATGATCAACCATTGTTGTTAAATGCTTTCTTTCTTTGCTTTCTAAGTTTTATTTAATGTGTAAATATCTTTACTTATCAGCATGTAAAAGCCTGTCCTTTTCATCCTAGGGCAATCTATGGCATGAAATATTAAAGTTCTCAGTCGTTCTGCAGGATTTTTAAATATTTATTTTTCTAGGGTTAATTTTTACTCTCAGCTGAGTAAAAATTGCTGTTAACACATCTAACAAAAAGTACAGTGAGTAATGAATTACCCTGGCCTGAATAGGTAATAAAAGAATATGCAGAGAATATCAGCACATCTAAAATAACCATTTATTGAAATACATTAAGCTCAATATCACACTATTGTGCTGCTTCAGAAAGTATAAAACGTTGACAGTAAATGACAAAAAAGGAAAGTATTTAAACTGTGGTAATTCTTCTGACAACGCTGTATGTTCCGTCTTCTTGAAACTCTGTGCTTTGGCCCTCAGTGTGCAAAGAGAGGCTGCTGGAGTGTACAACATCAGGGACCTGGAAAAACAGCAGGTTTGGAGTTATACAGAGCAAAAAGAAGCAAACTTCTATTCTTTAGAGTCAATTCTTTGGATCTACGTTAACATCGAGAAGCAAATAAAAACTAGGGTTCTGGTCTAGAGCTTCTCCATGTCTGAGGTTAATTGGAGAAGAAGGCAATTTCACATGTGCAGTTTTCACACATTTCATTTGCACCGTATTCCAGCCAATAATGTCATGCTCTAACACGTTCATATTAATGCTCAGGGGCGTGCACACATAGACACTAGGTGGTGCTAAAGCACTAGGAAGTTTGCCCTCTATCAAAGAAAATGCCCTTTTGAAACTCGTTTTTTTTAATTATTATTAATATTATTAAGATTTTACTGAGGTCGGTTTTGAAATGATCTTTTGAAAACCTGAGCCATTAAAAACGACTGAAACAATGCCCCGAAATGACCGACCTACTTGCGCACACCCGACCAGCCTCTCTCTCTCTTCCTTTGTCACGTGAACTCGCGCGGTCGCCCGCAGGGCATGCCAGATGCGCAGCATCATAGCAGTTTTCAGATAGCAGGAACGGTCGCTGACAGGCTGCTTCTCCCGTGCCCCATTAGCCAGGTAATATACAGATCAAGCAAATCATTTTGTTGTGCATTAAAATGTCTCATTCAGCAGCACCAAACAAGCATTTTGCCGACTGGTCACCTGATAAACTAGTTGTCTCCTTGTAAGATGCTATTTTACTTTTTATATTTTCTATCCATATTTTTTATCTTAAGTGTATACATTAGTCTATTTTATTGCATGACATATACCCACAGTTTTTAGATATTTTTATAATTTTATTTACCTATTCCATATTATATGTTTCATGTTGCACGATTGTACCATAAAAAATTCCTAGTTTGTGAACTCCTTCACTAACAATGGCAATAAACCTGATTCTGATTCTGAAAGTTTTACACTGTAGCCCAAGTCAATGACAGATAACGTGAGGACGACCACATAGGCTACAGATAATTTTGGTAGAGTTTGCAATTGCAAATCTACAGAAGAGGATTAGGGCCACTGAAAAAAAAAATAAAATAAGTTAACTGATTTTTAAATTTTATTTCAGTTTAGTATGGGAAAAAAGTCAGAATGCTGACTTTAATCTCATAATTCTAACTTTTTTCTCATAATTCTGACTTTTTGCTGAGAATTCTGACTTTTTGCTCAGTATTCTGACTTTAATCTCAGAATTCTGACAATTTCCCATGTTAAACTGAAATAAAATTTAAAAATCAGTTAACTTTTTTTTTTTTCAGTGGCCCTAATCCTCTTCTGTACAAATCTATGTGTTAAGACAAACGTTTTCTGTTGTATAGGTTTTGTTAGGCAACATAAATTAACACATTTTGGTCTCTTTATTGTCTTAATTGTATATTGATTTAGTAATTGCAGCACAATGCCAAGAAAGGAGGGTTAATCATATTGAAAAATCTTAAAAGCTGTTCACATTTTATTTTTAAGTGGTTTGTGCAGCAGGTATTAAAATAGCTATTATTTTGTAGGCTACCATAAGTCATATCCACGTGACAAGACTTCCAGTCATGTTGCCCTAATAGCCCATTATTTAAACTAATGTGGCATATTTGTTAAAGCTATTATTATTATTATCATTATTATTATTATTATTGTTATGATGTTTATTATTAATATATTGTAGCCAGTCACAGCAGGGAAGCTCTATACCATCAACATATAACCGGACAGGAGATGAGGAAGAGTTCAGGGAAGACACAGAGACAGAAAAAGACCAGGATGAGGGAGAGCAGATGGGTGAGGGAAAACAGGGAGATGAGCCAGATGAAAGAAGTATGCTTTAGTCTGTTCTGTTGGTGATGTGACTTTTTTCCATTAAAAACTTACGTTTAGAGAATGTTACAAATAAAAGTCAAATTTCATTCAACATGCGTTTATTTTTTTTTATAATTAAGTGTTACACGTGCGCTAAAAAGTGCCCTCCCCCCCTCCTGAGCACCTGCCCCCCAAAATGTCTGTGCACGCCTCTGTTAATGCTCCCCCATGAACCAGTGTCACAGTGTAGCTGTGACAGAACTTCCTCTGGTCAAAGAAGCCTTTGCATCTCCTCTTACTTTAAACGTCACCACATTGCTGTTTAAGGGCAGCCCATGGAATAAAAACATATTACTGAGACACTTAGGAACTTTAATTATATACCATGTTGAGATTGCATAAAGCTCACTGGAAATATAAAAGCCTAATTGAATTATTATATCAAATTATTTTAAGATTCTATATAACAGGAAAAAAGGGACCTGTCTGTCTGTCTTTAGTGTTTCATTTGAATGTCAATTGCTCTCTTTTAATCTGGCGCAACTTACTTTAAAGTAAACTGATTTAAATTCACTGTTTTTGATCATGTCAAATGAACTGTGAAGGTGTTTGATGAGCTGCAGATCATGTAGTTTCCTTTTGTCTTGGCAGGATTTTGCAGAAACAGAATATTGAACTAACTCAATTTTTCAGCTTCAGTTGGTCACTTTCTTATTTAGCTCTCCTCCTCTGTCTGCCAGTATCCATTAAGCTGTCATTCTCCTTTTAAACCAACTTTACTTCCTGGATATTACCTGGTGGAAGGTGTCAAAGTCCATATGGCTGCGAGTTCCGATGATAAACTCACCGCTGTCCATACCTGAAGATTGAAAAACAGTTCAGTTCGGTTTCTGAACTGTTCCTTGAAGCAACCACTGTAGACCTCATACTAGATTAAAGGTAGACTCAGGTGGCATTAAAAATGTTTTTCTATGTGACAAAGGTTTGTAAAGCTTCACCAAACCAGTGGTGGAAGAAGTAACAATAAATACGGTTCAGAAGCTTGATGACTTTAAAGGATCGTTGCAGTTTTCAGCCAGAGGTACTGCTATGAGCATTTTATATATGATATTCTATAAAAAATGGATTGACACATAGAGAAATGGCTTCATATGTGAAAAACAATCATTGGGAGTATTTTTGCTGTAAACAAAAGTTAGAGATAAGTACGCATGTGAAATTAAAATCAAGAAATGTTTAAAAATGTAGAGAAACACCACTATCTTTTTTTGGCTCCATGTTTCAAAGCTGAAGTGAAAAACTGCCAAGTGAGGGAACAAAATGCTAAATTAATCCTGTAAATCTAGGACACCGCGTTGTCAGGGCTCAACTGGAGAAGGAAGGTCTCAAAGGCAGTCAGAATGAGTGATGCTAGAGAGCTTCATCAGTTTACATGGTTTGCAGGAGAAGTGTGGAGGTGCACGACTGCCCCAGATTACATCTGTCAGCAAAAGCCCCTGCCTTGCTGAGGCAGGACCCAATGCTAAGAAAAAATATAAAAAAATATCTGAAACAATAAAATGAAATGTTAGGGGCTTTAGCAGTTCAGCCTCTGCAAAATAAAAAGTGGAAAACAATCTTGAATGAATGAATGAAAATAATTTATTTCAGATAATTACCAAATAATAATAATAATAATACAAATAATAGATAAATCTATTTTTGAAAATATTTCAAACAAGCTACCATGTATCACACAACAAAGCAATTGCTAAACATGAAATTAAATACAATTTTTAGTTCCAAATAAATTTTATGAATTTAAATATAAATAGAAACTAATAAAATCAACAAACCTTTCCACTAATTGTTTTTTTCATCAAAGCAACATACTATCAAGGTTTTTTCTAAATGAAATTGCCTTCTACAAAAGGTAAAATGAGAGTTATAACATTTCAAAGTAAGGGTATTTATATTGTGTAAGTAAAACTTTGTGTGAATGATAAAGAAATCTATTTAATAACTATATATATAACAGATACAGGGTTTTTAACATTGCAAATGAATTACAGTTCTTCTTAGTTACAGCTGATGTGTTTTCACCTATCTAGATGCGTCCAGATTATATCTCTACTATTTATGTATTTTATTTCAAAAAGTAAATATTTTATATACTGTATTTTATTTCTTTTTGAATAGTACAGCTATGCATTCATCCTAATTTTGAAATGTTTATTAGCTAAGCAGTCCGAACATGTAAAGCACTTTGAGCACCAGCTGGATTGTCACTAAGTGCTCAATAAATAAACTTTGATTGATAGATTAATGAAGCGTGAACATTTCCTGCATTCATATCTGTTCATTTGTAATAATTAAGGGTTACAGCTTTTAAAAATAAATTCTGCTTCTCATTGAACAAGAATATCAAATGAAACGAAATAAATTAAAATAATTTAAAACAGAATTATTATATGGTCTGCCATGGACTGTTGATTAAGTGAGAGCTTTGGAAGCTGCCATTGAAGGACTCTGTAAATGGGATTGAGACGATATCCACAACATCTTACCTGGACTAAAGAGAAAATGGGCTGAACCGTTAAGAATTGATCCCCAGTCCTTGATTGCAGTAAAAGCTCATTTTGAATTTTGTTTGGAAATCAAGGTATATTCTGGAGAAGAATGGAGATGCACTTAATCCTTTCTACTTGAGGTCTAGTGTGAAGTTTCTGATTTCATGGGGTGTCGCAGGGCTGACCACAACCTTCAATTAGACACTAAACCAAATTTGAATTTAGGATATTTTATTCCTGTCATTAACATCAAATTCTGCAATCAATAGTTAGATGAGCATGTCATTTACAAATCTACACCAGCTCTAGCAGTGCTTTTACAGCATCCTATTTGTATCTATAATCTACTGTTACTAAAAGTAATAACATAAATGAGTAAGTAGCGTAGTTACAGTGAAAGTGTCATATAGTTTTTTTTTTTTGTGACTTGCAGTTGCAAAGCAACATGCAAAAATAAACTGCAGTGCATGTATGCCAACAAATAAAATAGATTTGATAAATAAAAATAAGAAATTCTGTTGTGCAAAAGCACATGTGGTTGAATCTAAATAATGATAAAATATCCAACATGTTCCTAAGTAACAGAAATAAAAACTTACCTGAATCAAGGTATAAAAATCTAAGTTAAAAGTTTAGTTGTTAGCACCTAAAACTCTGTAAATGTATGTAACCTAACTGACCTATCTGATAACATAAATGATCTTTTTCCGCATGTATGACCTTTGTATATTACACAGGTTCTTTCTCAGCTCTTTGCTTTCCAGGTTTTCTATTTAATATCATCCCTGTTATCACTTTAAGCGATCAGGCAGCAAACTTTGTTGCTTATACTAACTCACTGTCAGCCCACTGGATCGTTCTTCTAACATGAAAGATCTCAGGTACTGTAGGTTTTTATTAAATTGAAATTGGAAAAGTTTCTCTCTGCAGATGCAACAGGCACAGGGGGAATGCAGGCCAGCCTCAGAGCAACCCAGAGAGGCCTGAGATCTACCCATAGATAGGTAAAATTCACAGCTCAGGTGAGTAAATAAGGTCATCTTTGCTTTTTTTTTTTTTTTTACAGTGTCCTGTCTGGCAATGTGGCAATAAGAATAGTTGTCTTGATGCCAAAAAGAGCCCAACAGATTTTCCTTTCACAAGTGTAGCAGTATGGCAATTGCCATATAGCTCCTCTTGTTTCATGCATATAAATTGCTTTATTATAATTATGCAGGGAGTTTCACAGTTTATATGGACACTGCAATGTAAATAGAGCAGATTTACAGAAGAAGAAAAGGAAAAAAGAAAAACAAAAGAGAAAAGATGAAAGAAAGAAGAGATAGAAAGGAGATAATGACAATCTCTGAAGCAACTGAACTCTCATCACTGTTCTGTTCTCTGAAGATAAGTTTGCAGAAAGCTACACTTGTCCCTCTTTGTCTGTGTTTTAATCTGACCCAAAGACCAATAAATGTTTTTTATGTATAACTAATTAATTCTATATGAGATATATTGATCAAAAAAATGCATAATTTCATAATCAAATTATATTAATCTAGAAATCATTATACATGCAAAAGAAAAAAAAAAACACATAACAGTAAATTTTAGTTGGGGGGCTAGCTGGCCAGGGGCCCTAATCAGTTTTTTTAATTAGCTTGTGTCTTGGGCAAATCATAGGTTATGAAGATAAAATGGGTAAAAGATCAAATCAGTCATCTTTGAATAAACTTTTGAGCACTTTATGGAGATGCTAATTTCATTTTCCAACAGGACTGCACAAACCTAATATTTAGATTTTTATTGTGAAGCTAAAGTTTGTGTCACAAAATAGTTTTTAAATAAAGGTAGCTTGCATCCTGAATTCAAATGATGCAGACTGGGAGGCTCCTGTACGTTAGCAGCTGTTATGGTACAGAACAAACCAGCAGGCAATTAAGATGCTCTAATAGGAAACATAGCAAAGATTGGATGTCAAAAAAATAAACACGTGGTTCTGTTCACTGCTTGTTAAATGAAAGTATAGTAAACGTAAAATAAAATCTAAATGAATCATTTATGTACTCAATTTTGCTGTTTCTGTTTTATTTGCATTTTCTCACCTGTTGAGTCCTCACTGGAAAACCCCTGATTCACATTCCCGCCTGTCGCCTCGGCAACTGGGTTCCCTCCATAATGCGATTGGTTGAACCTGCAAAAGCCCAGGAGGATGGAAAATGAAAGAGATAACCTTTAGCTTAAAAAGCAAGTCACATTGTTAGAAGCCATGTTGCTGTGAAAAGACAATTTCTACTCCCCTAGAGCAGCAGTATATCAGAGGCCGTCTGTATTGTCCTCAGCATAAAGTGCACTGACAGATAAAAAATGAGCATCATCATATTTTTCAGGCAGCTTTATTAGAGCCAACCAAAACTCCTCAACTGTGGCTCTGGATTTCATTTAAGTGAAAAATGCTGACATATAAAATGTTTAATGCGTTAGCGTTGACAATAAAAATCTTAATGAAGTTTTTATAAATGACAAAGACCATTTAAAGAATGTCATTTCTAATTCATGTCCTTAATTTTCTTTCGTAACAAGGATCAATAAGGGCTTATTCAGTCTCAAACATTGGCTTAGCATATCAACAAAGATTCACGCTGAGTCTTCAAATTAGTTAAATATAAATGAACTGTGCAGCAAGAGAAGGTGCTGTACGTCAACGATTAATGGAAGCTCAACATTTTTTAGGGTAGTAGTTTTATTTAAATCCTTGTTGAAATGTTGCTGCATAAGGAAGTACAAAAGAAACAGCATTTAAATCTCACCTTATCACCTCCTGCTGCTTTTTTTCTGAAAAAGACAAAAAAAACCTGATAAAGTTCAGGATTATGAGTTATCAGGTGCTAACTTTATGATTATGATAGCATTGTGCCTGGAACGGCTCAGCTTGCCCACAGCATCTACAGTACAGCAATAAGAAAGCTGTAAATGTCCTGCTGTTTATTTGCTTCGGGCCCTGCGTTGGTATCATTGCCTCCAGTTGGTTTTGTACCTCAGCAGTAAAAGCTGCAGCTGAGCATTTATGAGTTTTGTAACATGGCTTTACGAGCTGCATTTGCTAAAGATGCTGGTGGTCATGAAAAACAGGCTGCATCCTTACAAAGCTGCAGATGGATCTTACCTCAGGAGGGTTTTAAGCTCCTTTTACAAATAAAGAAACCTCACCTAATATTGTTATTCAACTCAATGCTGTCATTAACTAAATTCCTCTTTTAGATCTAATCTCCTTTCTTGATATTTTGAAAGCAGGCTTCACACCTCAGTGATATAAATTACCCAAAAAGGTGTTCTGCCTTCTGGTATCCACATTTTTTGATATTTGAAACACCCTATTAACTTTATTTAAATTATGGATATTCCTTCACAGTTTTATGACTAGGGCAAGGACAGTATTGGAGGGCTGAGACGTTTTAGGTACTTCAAAGGTCACAGCTGCTTTGAGCTAATCCTTTAGATCCAAACCAAAGCCACGTTTAGCAGTGGTCCAGAATTCGTGCAAGGGATTACCCTGTGTTAAAATGTTGCAGTATTCTTGTTATCCCACAGAAACAGAGAGCCCTCCTCCTCCCACAAAAAAGAAGCACAGACTTTATAACCTCTGGGCCTTAATTATGCTAAATGGTATTATTCCTAATGATATAATATTGAGAATGATAGTCACATTATGAGAATGCAGGAGGTATAACCATTCATGTGAGAAGAAAAGGGGGCAGAAAACGTGCCCTCTGGTCATATGATATAATAAAAAAACTAATCAAAGACTTCTGTAATCTATTCAAGAATGGCTGCGTACTTTATTAATCTCCTCTACTGCTGCAAGAGGAGTACGATTAGTCTACATATGTTATAACGTGCTTTTGTTACAATAACAATTAAAAATGTAAGAAAGATAACTGGCTTTTTATCAAAGATTAGTTATATTACTGTCTAGAATGAAACCACTGACCAAGTGAGTATGCACAGACAGAGGCTGAATGTATAGCCTCTTTACCGTTGAAATTAGAGGGTTATCGCAGGTTTTTCAAACGTGGGTCGACCAGCAAACAATCAGCATTTTGTTCTCTTCCCAGTGGCAAAAAAAAAGTGTCTAACTCCTCGCTGGCAAGCTGCATGGCCTCTGTCTCCCTACAGCTGCATGTTTGGTGACGCCATCACGTTGGGTAAATGTTGATGGTCTCACAAGTGCGACATAAATAATGAAAGTAAATAATGGTGAGCAACATGGAATGAAGCCAGGGCGCAGTCAGCGCTTTGTACTGTTTCATCCCTTTTACCAGTGCTGCACCATCTTTATAGAGTGTAGACAGAGTTGTTTTCGGTTTGTTTGATCAGACGCGACTGGCGTGGTGTGGTGACGTCCAATGGTATTGCATAAAATTAGCGTGTTGAACCGGGTCTGGTGTTCCCACAGCATCCTCATTAGAGCTGAGGCAATTTTGACATGCATTATATGCCGAGTTGCTGCCAGGTCAGTGAGTTGTTCCCAATGCATCTAAAAGGCAATTGTGCTCAAGCTTAAACTGTTTTTTTTCAGCCACTGTGAAAGGGTTATATGAAAAAGCTACACTGCTGTAGTTTTTCCACTGGTCCCTGCTTCTTGGTCAACGATATAGATGGTTTTCAATTAAAGATAAGTTTGCATCACGTAACTGAACAAACTAGAGACTGCTGTGATTTGGTTTTTAAACTAAAACTGGTACTCCTCATCAACTCCGTTCCTCTCCTCTCACCTCTGTTTCATTCTGTGGTCATACCATTCCCCTCTCTCCCTCTGTTACAAGCCTTGGGGTCAAGCTTGACCCCCACCTCTCCTTTGACAATCATGTCACCTCCATCTGCAAAACGTCCTTCTTTCACCTCCGTAATATCTCTAAACTCCGTCCCTCCCTATCCCTCCCTGCTGCAGAGAAGCTCGTCCACGCCTTCGTCTCCTCCAGGCTGGATTACTGCAACGCTCTCCTCGTCGGGATCTCTGGCAGGAGCCTTCAGAAGCTCCAGTATGTACAGAACAGCGCTGCCAGGGTCCTGATGAGGGTGAGGAAACACCAGCACATCACTCCCATCCTTCACACTTTACACTGGCTGCCCATTCACGCCCGTATAGAGTACAAGATTCTTCTGCACACCCATCACTGTGTGCACGGTGCGGCCCCCATGTATCTCACTGAACTGCTCACACCACACACCTCTTCCCGGACCCGGTCAGGCCAACAGCACCGTCTGGCCCCACCCAGGACACGGCTAAAAACAATGGGCGACAGGGCCTTCGAAGCCGCAGCTCCCCGTCTGTGGAATGCCCTCCCAGACCACCTTAGGGCCCCACAGACGGTGGATTGTTTTAAGAAAGGACTAAAAACTTTCCTTTTTAGAAATTCCTACAATTGTTGATTTTAGATTTTCTTTAATAGGCTACGTATGCCTTTTAATGTATTGATTTTAATGACTGTCTTTTTACTCTGTTTTTAATGTTATGGTCTTTTAAACTTGTTTTGTAGCACTTTGAGATTTGAAATCAAATGTAAAGTGCATGATAAATAAAATTCATTATTATTATTATTAAACTAGCTCTATATGCAGCAGGAAAAAACCACCTGGATGGCAGTTAACATCTGACCATCCAGATGAAAAACAACTCTTATTACTTTTTTTCATAGTATGGAATGTTAAAAAAAAAAGGTTTGATCAATTGATATTATTCAAACAGAGAACCATAGTCAACAATAATAAGTATAAGAGCAACTGATACATTAACTAATAACCAATGGAATTTGACAGAAGTGGAACATTTTTACCAGCATGCTAATATCTGATATTTCAGTTGTAGGATGATATAATCTGATAGTATCCTTTTGCCTGATATCTTGCCAATATCTGATATCAATATGACATCGGGACATCCCTACAAGCTTTAGCTAGTAGCTTTTTTCCATCCGTAGTTCTTGAGTAAAGTTACGAGGACAATACCTCCAGATTAAATTGCATTAAGTAGATAACAACAACCATGCGCCAAAACAATCCCCTCTAAGAGCAATTGTTGAACGTGCATTTTTTTTGTTTGTTTTATAGACTTCAGTCAACGTAACTACAGATAATGCTTACATGCATATTAAAGAATCTGCAAGCTCTATGCATAAAGAACAGACTTAGGGTTTCAAATCCAGAGTCTGCAAGGTGTACAGTAGGCAACACCATGCATGGAGACAGAAGACAGAAACGCACAGATGCAGACAGGCAGGCTCAGTGGTTGAGGGACAGAGACAAGACATAGTACCCGGATTACTGCAGAACTTTAAACTTGTCGCCACCTAGGAACCAGGCTTACGGGACTTAAAACTACACTCTATCCTAGGAGCCAGCACACGATCAGGAGACATGACAAACACTAAAACCTCTTAACCCACTGGCCTCCGAGGACAGGAACATAAACCCAAGAATAACTCAAAACTAACGAAACAAACTAACAAACTGGCATCAAACAGTGATCTGCCTCCACTTGCTGGGCTGAGTCGTATATGAAGCAGCAGGTGCAGGTGGATAGCATGAGGAGTAATTAGAGACCAGGCAGAGTTAAGCAGGTGAGTGAAATGAACAATTAAGATCAGCTATCAGGGCAGATCATGAAACTTATTTGACATGGGGGGAAAGAAAGTCATGTGTCAGTATCCATCAAGGAGACTCCTATATTATTAAAGAAAAGCATATGCAGCATATGCCAAACCATAAATGATTAATTAGAACACAGTGTTTGTAAATATGTGTTTAGGTTTATTTACAAGACTTCATGAAAATCTGGTTTTGCTTCAGTGATTTTCTTTTTAAATACATAACTTGTGCCCATTTATTTTCCTGTGCAGCAGGTTAGCCCTTTCTCTTTTTTTTTAAGCCACCTCACAGTGCACATTAGCACATGCCTGGCCATCCAAATTAAACTTTTCGGCCACTGGTGATGCAAGTAGATGTGATATTATTTAAACTTTAGATTCTGACTCCAATTTTCCCCATTATTATAAGCAACAGCGGCAAAGCTTAACAGCTCTAAAATCAAACTATTCCCATGTCCAGAATATCCTGTGCTCTCCATGCAGCCATGTATTACAGTAGATTGTGTCTATGCAAACATACTGACTCATCCGGCAGAAACCAAGTGTGAGTCAGGACCTCATGTTTCTAAAGGCACTGCGCACTATTTCCAGTTTTCAAGCAGACTGATAACATGTCCAAGGTTACTGTCTTCCCACACTGCATAAAATCAGTACAATGCCTCTTTGTTTTACTGAAACTGTAACATGCTAGAGTTTGGGAACTTCCAGAATCCTGGAACGGGTTTCACCAAAGCTGCCATAGATTTGGGAGGTTTCTTGTTTTTTAATCTTTTTTATTATCATTTTGTCTCTTTAATTTTGGATATTATTCAGAAACAACAGATAATACAGCAAATATATATATATATTTTTATTAACTTTAAAAGTTCAATAATTCTTTGTGCTATCATTGTTATTATAAAATACACATCTATCACTCTAAATGTTTTTATGTACAAAATAGCTCACATTTTGTTCTGCTATTGATTTACCACCCATCTCTGGTGCCTACCGTGTACTGTTGTTGACAAACCATGTTCTGCTTTTGTCAGAAAAGATACCGCATGCCCGTGTTGAAGGCTACTGCAGGGTTGTCCCAGCATGCAGCCAGCCACCTCTGTGCTTTATTATACTTTAATCACAGTTTCTGAGCTGGAAAATTGTGGGCCGTGCTGACATTTGTTCTCTTAGAGCAATTTAAGGAAGAAGAAAAGTGCCTACTTGCTTTTTTCCTCCGCCTGTAGCAGATGACGATGCTTATGGAGAGCAGCACAAGCAGCACAAGCAGCAGAACAGCAGCTAGAGAGGCGCTTACTGCCACCAGGACTGTGCAGTCATCCTCTTCCTTGATCACCTCTGCGACTTAAGAGAGAAGGTCACATCATTCATTTTTATTACAGAGCACTGAAGCAATGGAAACAACCTGAAATTCAGCTACAGATATGCAGAAAAGTCACAGAGAGATGTGTATTTTTGTCATTAAAGTATCTGTTGTGGTAAAAGATGAAAATGGACAAAAAGACAAGATAAAAAAAAAATGTTTTTACAAATGTGGTCTTTTCAGTCGTTCAACCTGTATGCTGCTATGATTCAAACTTATGCTGTTTCTGTTTCGTAACCCTTTCCTCTTTTCCTCTCCTCTTTACTCTATGATGATTCACATGCTTCCCAAAACAAAAGGGGGAGGAAAGGTTTAACATATTGAGTTGAAAAAAACTAAAAAAAATCTCTTAAAATAATAGAAATTGGGGGAATGCCTTTGATATACCTTAGGCTGGGGGCAAAATTGGGATTTATGCATGAAGTAGAGTGCTAAAGCACTGTTCAATGCCTATACTGATTTTTTAAGGATGAGTCTTCCATCCTTGAAAAGATTATTATTCACTTTTTTCTTTGATAATTTATTGGCTTGATTTCAAGCTGCGGGGGTGTAATAAAAAATCTGAATAATAATTGTCTTACCTAGAGTAATAGCAGAGAGAGTGAAAAAATAAAATCTAACTAGAAGCACATTAAATGAGTCAAACTAAAAAGTTTAATTGCAGTTTGAGTAATCTTCATATATTTTAAAGCCCTCAGACATTTTTAATATTTTCTCTCTTTTTAATAATTCTAAATGGTAAAATACGCCTTAAATAATTTTATTTATCCGCTTTGACACACAGTTCCACAGATCTGATACAACAAATACAAGCCAATTTTGTAGAAAACAAATATACATGTCAAACAGGATATTTTAATATTTTCTTTCATCCTAGTTAGCATAGCAAGTTGTATTTTCATTTGTTGAACAAGCAAACAGAAATGGAAACGTATGATTTCCAAAAACTTAATAAATTATTTCTGGGCAATAGCATCACATACAGTACTGTGTCTAAAAATAAGATGATTCCAACTTCTAAGTCACTGTATACTAACAGGGTCTTCTCAAATGCAGGAAGCTTTAGAGAAAACTGTCTATAAAGTTTCTAGGTGCAATTCTTTGCATTCATCTATGGAAGAGTTTTAGGGCAATTTAACAAAAAAAAAACATCCACTCAAACAAAAACTTGATTTTCAGAATTCTGACTTTATACTCGGAATGAAAGTTAGATTCCTTCGAACTCTGTCGCCAAAGCCCAGGATGATCAATTAGATAAAGTAGATCTATTAAAAATTGGTCATAATGTATGTAAATAATTGAGAAGCAGGCATTCTGATTGGAGTCAGCATTTGCAGCATTTGCCAAATTCTGAGAATAAAGTCAGAATTCTGGGATTGAAGTCAGACTCCATCCATCCATCCATCCATCTTCCTCCGCTTATCCGGGGTCGGGTCGCGGGGGCAGCAGCTTAAGAAGGGAGGCCCAGACTTCCCTCTCCCCAGCCACTTCTTCCAGCTCTTCAGGAGGAACCCCAAGGCGTTCCCAGGCCAGCCGAGAAACATAGTCTCTCCAGCGTGTCCTGGGTCTTCCCCGGGGCCTCCCCCCGGTGGGACGTGCCCGGAACACCTCACCAGGGAGGCGTCCAGGAGGCATCCTAAACAGATGCCCAAGCCACCTCAACTGGCTCCTCTCGACGTGGAGGAGCAGCGGCTCTACTCCGAGTCCCTCCCGGATGACCGAGCTTCTCACCCTATCTCTAAGGGAGAGCCCAGCCACCCTACGGAGGAAACCCATTTCGGCCGCTTGTATCCGCGATCTAGTTCTTTCGGTCATGACCCAGAGTTCATGACCATAGATGAGGGTAGGAACGTAGATCGACCGGTAAATCGAGAGCTTCGCTTTTTGACTCAGCTCTCTCTTCACCACGACGGACCGGTACAGCGCCCGCTTCACGGCAGACGCTGCACCAATCCGCCTGTCGATCTCCCGCTCCCTTCTTCCCTCATTCGTGAACAAGATCCCAAGATACTTAAACTCCTCCACTTGGGGCAGGACACCCCCCCGACCCGGAGAAGGCACTCTACCCTTTTCCGGCTCAAGACCATGGCCTCGGATTTGGAGGCACTGATCCCCATCCCGGCCGCTTCACACTCGGCTGCGAACCGATCCAGCGAGAGCTGCAGATCACGACTTGATGAAGCCAACAGGACCACATCATCTGCAAAAAGCAGAGACGCAATCCTAAGGCCACCAAAACGGATCCCCTCAACACCTTGGCTGCGCCTAGAAATTCTGTCCATGAAGGTAATGAACAGAATCGGTGACAAAGGGCAGCCCTGGCGGAGTCCAACTCTCACTGGAAACGAGCCCGACTTACTGCCGGCAAATCGGACCAGACTCTGACACCGGTCATACAGGGACCTGACAGCCCGTATCAAAGGGCCCGGCACCCCGTACTCCCGGAGAACCCCCCACAGGGCCCCCCGAGGGACACGGTCGAACTCCTTCTCCAAGTCCACAAAGCACATGTAGACTGGTTGGGCGAACTCCCATGCACCCTCCAGGACCCTGCTGAGGGTGTAGAGCTGGTCCAGCGTTCCACGACCAGGACGGAAACCACACTGCTCTTCCTGAATCCGAGGTTCGACTATCCGACGGACCCTCCTCTCCAGCACCCCCGAATAGACCTTGCCGGGGAGGCTTAAGAGTGTGACTCCCCTGTAATTGGAGCACACCCTCCGGTCCCCCTTTTTGAATAGGGGGACCACCACCCCAGTCTGCCAATCCAGGGGGACTGCCCCCCGATGTCCATGCAATGTTGAAGAGTCGTGTCAGCCAACACAACCCCACAACATCCAGGACCTTGAGGAACTCCGGGCGGATCTCATCCACCCCCGGGGCCCTGCCACCGAGGAGCTTTTTAACCACCTCGGCGACCTCGCCCACAGAGATTGGAGAGCCCAGCCCAGAGTCCCCAGGCCCAGCTTCCTCAATGGAAGACATGTTGGTGGGATTGAGGAGGTCTTCGAAGTACTCCGCCCACTGACCCACAACGTCCCGAGTCGAGGTCAGCAGCACACCATCCCCACTATAAACAGTGTTGGTGCTGCACCGCTTCCCCCTCCTGAGACGCCGGATGGCGGACCAGAATCGCTTCGGAGCCGTGCGGAAGTCTTTCTCCATGGCCTCTCCAAACTCCTCCCACACCCGGGTTTTTGCCTCAGCAACCATCCGAGCCGCATGCCGCTTCGCCCGCCGGTACCCATCAGCTGATTCCGGAGTCCCACAGGCCAAAAAGGCCCGATAGGCCTCCTTCTTCAACCTGACAGCATCCCTCACCGGAGGTGTCCACCAACGGGTTCGAGGGTTGCCGCCACGACAGGCACCGACAACCTTGCGGCCGCAGCTCAGATAAGCCGCCTCGACAATGGAGGAACGGAACATGGTCCACTCGGACTCAATGTCCCCCACCTCCCCCGGGATGTGTTCGAAGTTCTGCCGGAGATGGGAGTTAAAGCTCCGCCTAACAGGGGACTCCGCCAGACGTTCCCAGCAGACCCTCACAACACGTTTGGGCCTGCCAGGTCTGACCGGCATCCTCCCCCACCACTGGATCCAACTCACCACCAGGTAGTGGTCAGTGGAAAGCTCAGCAGCTCTCTTCACCCGAGTGTCCAAGACATACGGCCGCAAGTCCGATGAAACGATGACAAAGTCGATCATCGAACTGCGGCCTAGGGTGTCCTGGTGCCATGTGCACATATGGACACCCTTATGCTTGAACATGGTGTTCGTTATGGACAATCCGTGACGAGCACAGAAGTCCAACAACAGAACACCACTCGAGTTCAGATCAGGGCGGCCATTCCTCCCAACCACGCCCCTCCAGGTCTCACTGTCATTGCCCACGTGAGCGTTGAAGTCTCCCAGCAGAACAAGGGAGTCCCCAGGAGGGGCACCCTCCAGTACCCCCTCTAAGGACTCCAAGAAGGGTGGGTAATCTGAACTGTTGTTCGGCCCGTAAGCACAGACAACAGTCAGAACCCGTCCCCCCACCCGTAGGCGGAGGGAGGCTACCGTCTCGTTCACCGGGGTAAACCCCAACGTACAGGCGCCGAGATGGGGGGCAACAAGTATGCCCACTCCTGCCCGGCGCCTCTCACCGTGGGCAACTCCAGAGTGGAAGTATGTCCAGCCCCTCTCAAGGAGACTGGTTCCAGAACCAGAACCATGCGTTGAGGTGAGACCGACTATTTCTAGCCGGAACCTCTCAGCCTCACACACTAGCTCCGGTTCCTTCCCCACCAGCGAGGTGACATTCCACGTCCCAAGAGCCAGCTTCTGCAGCCGAGGATCGGACCGCCAGGGTCCCCTCCCCCGGCCGCCACCCAACACACATTGCACCCGACCCCTATGGCCCCTCTCACGGGTGGTGGGCCCATGTAAGGGGGGACCCATGTTTCCTCTTCGGGCTGAGCCCGGCCGGGCCCCATGGGTAAAAGCCCGGCCACCAGGCGCTCGCCATCGTGCCCCCCCTCCAGGCCTGGCTCCAGAGTGGGGCCCCGGTGACCCGCGTCCGGGCGAGGGAACGCTGGATCCAATTATTGTACTCATCATAAGGGTCTATATATATAGATAATATATATATATTATCTATATATATATTGAAGTCAGACTTTTAAGATTAAAGTTAGAAAACAATAATGATTTTTATTTTATTGATTATCTGTTTGTTTTTCCTCTGTTTCTGTGTCTATTACACCAAAAACAAACTGTGATGGTTCAAATTATACATTGTTGCTCAGAGTTTATGTTGAACTGTTGGATGGGGGAAGTATGCTAACCGTCTCAGATTAGTGACCATGACTTGAACTATAATCTATATCAACTCTTTATTTCTACCTGATGAAGCAAAGAGAGTAAATACTCTAGTTAAAGTTTTTTTTTCAATTAATGTTATCGTCCAAAACACTTATATCCCGTGGTCACTAGATCCCTACCAGACTTTGGATTTAAAGTTCATTGGTACTTCAAGGGAGTATGATCTTGTTTTATATTCTAACTGCAGAGAAAACAAAATTGCTTATGGTTGCAAAGCTGCTTAATATATTAAGATTATAAATGACTGTTTGTTGAAATTAAATATTTTAAGAGTGGCTTGATTCATTTTGAAAATAAAGCCTGTAATTTTGATCAATGAAGTCTGTTGAAAACATATACATCTGTTTGTTTTGCAACTATTAAAAATAAATAGATGAGTCAATAATCTTTTCAAGGATTGAAGCCTGATCCTTAATTCTTTGTAATAAATAACTCCTTAAGGGTATCAGATAACTTTTTAAGGTAGATTGATGACAGTATCTTCTGTCACACCATTTTCCACAAATATCTACATCCTGCAGAAGAAAAATATTCCAATATAAAAAATAGTATGCTTTCCTTTTTTTTTTTTTTTGCAACTAAAATTAAATAAATAATTAGATAATAATTTCTAGCTCTTAAGGAGTTTTATTTCACCAGACTGAGCGCACAAATGCTTTAAGCTGCAAAGGCTGCAAAACCCCTCATTCCTACAGAGCAGCAACTTATCAGAAATAGAAAGGGTGATCCATCTTAAAATGATCCAAAGATCCTGTTTTTTTAGAACCTCTCAGTAGAAATACTGTACATGCATGCATAACATGATAAAACTGAGGGTCCCAGAAAATTACTTTACATTACATTAGTGAGTAACTGGTAGCTTAAGTCACAGTTAAGAATTTCTTTGGGATAAATGTTCCTCACCACTCCACAAAACACCGTTAAAATAAATTGTAATCTTAACCATTACAATATGGAAAATAAATCCTAGAAGATGCAGATTAATTTATTTTTGAATGTTGTTCTCACCTACTGTTAGATTGAGGCTGCTTTCCAGAGGTTCTTTTAGAGCAGGCACAGAAACCAGACAGCCCACCGCAGAGCTCCTCTCTGCTGGAATGCTGAGGTTGCTGGAGACAGTGAAGAGATTCTCCTTCTCCTCCAAGGTGATGTTGTATTCATCCTTGCTCACCTTGACGAAGTAAACCAGACAGAAAACTGTTATTCATCAAATAAATCTAATTACTTATTTTAAGCTTTTTAGAATCTAAATGAATTTGTCTGCAATTCACCCAGATAGATCTGTGTTGCTTTTAAAGTTGCCCAGTTGTCTCAGGTTTGAAGGGGCCATTTTGCAAACGGCATGTTTCTGCTCCTTTCAAATACGCTATATAGGAATGAGATCAGGGATCATAGAAGGAAACTTCAGAATAGTCCAGTATTTTCCTCTCAGCCATTCTTTGGAGGTTTTAGTTGTGTCGTTTGGGTCATTATCCTGTTGAAGACCCATGACCTGTGACTGAGACCAATTTCTCTGACATTGAGCAGCACATTTCTCTCTGCTATTTCCTTCACTTCCTCTGGTGCATGTTGAGTGTGGTACACGCCATGACACCAAACAGCCCAATAGTAATAAATAGGCCCAATGAATGATTACAAGGTTGTAGACACCTGTACAGCTAATTGATGGACAAATCTTGATTTAACATAAATGTCCCTTTAGTCACATTCTTTTATCTTTACTTGGGATACCAGGATTTTTGTCCAGGTCTGTTTAAGGTGCTTATTTTCTGAAAACATTCTGTTGAAAGATGGTTGAAAAGCTTTTTTTTTTTTTTTTTTTTCTTTTTTTTATAAATCTCCTGTTTTCCCTCTGGGATTATTAAAGTATTAATGATTTTGATTCCAATTCTGATAACAAAACCCACAGTTAAGGACATAATCTTATTTCTATTTTTGTAGCAAATGATTAGTTACTTAAAAGAATTTTAGTTCATCGCATGTTCCCGTATATAATATGAAAAAGCAAATCTGCTCCATTTGAGAACTTTGGTCTAAAATGTAAAAAAAATATGCCTTTACACTGAAGATATACATAAAGGATGTAATGTTTTACTAAGATTGATATCCTTTGGAAATTCCTGCTTTGCTGCAAAAAAATGTAGCAATTAGATAATAGACAATGATGTTTTTCTGCTGTGTGTTTTGTTCCATCAATTAAGCAGATTAAGATGAAATGTGGAGGATTATATGGTTGTGGCTTTTTCAGAGCTAATCCCGATAATACTTTGAGGTCTACACGCAAAGATTCAATGGAATCATTTAATTTAAGCATATTCTCATCAAAATATGTTAAACAATTTCCATGATATTTTTAAGAAACGATGAGGAACCTGCAGAGATAACAGCTTTGAGCAGGTTTTGGAAATATTCATATTGTCATTAAAAAAGAAAAAAGCAACCCCCATTTTAATAATCAGTTCACAGCATAATTGAGGAAAATGCTTTGAGTGGGATACATTGATTATTAACCGAAAATGATGGGATAAATGCTCAATCAAATCAACTTTTTAATCCTCTAAAAGCAGTTTAAAGACACTCTTTTTTTTTTCTAAAATAGTCACATTCTCCCAAAAAAAAAAAAATAATTACAGGGCCTTGCAAAACTATTCCATCGCTTCAACTTTCATCTTTTTTTTGCAAACACATATTTAAATACATTTTTTGTGGGGTAAACATAAAGTAGTGCATCGCTGTGAGGCTTGGGAGGGAAATTATATGTTTTTTTTTTTTTACTTTTTTAGATACATTTGTGTTTAATCTCTTCACTCTGATTCCCCTAAATAAAATTTATTTGCTTAACTCCTTCCATATTTCTAACTAGAATATCCATTTAAATTCTTTGTTAGCTGCACTTAATCTCAAGAATAATACAGAGGAAGTCAATATCTTTGTGTAAGTACGGTTTGGGGAGTCTGTTTCTGCTTTCCTGACCTCATACATTCAAACTATTGTCTCTTTGCTGACTTAATGATCTTAACTTAAAAGTGTAAAGAAATGCCTTATGCCAACAAATTATAATGCCAACTTGAAAAAAAGTACATATTGGTTTTCAAGTTGCTTTGCAAAGAATGTCATGAAGGATTTTAGTCTTTAAGAAAACAACAGATGTTCTGAAATGTCATAATTTTTTTACCTGTTAAATGCCAGGTCTAGAACGGTCAAAAATCATCATCATGCCTTGTTTTGATCTATTTTTCTACATTATCTACATTGTGAGGACCTAAGGCTGATTTCTATATTTAGAAACCAGGGCGTCTGCGTGTGTGTCGCAGTGAACCCAAATGTGCCCCTGTCCCTTCTGCAGACATTTGCTGCACCTCTCCCAAAATTGTAGGTGACCGCAGACAGGAGGCCTCTGATTGGTCAGATCTACATCTAAGCATATCTCCTGTTTGGTACCTTACCGACTTGTTTTGTTTGTATGACCGCCATTGTGGAAAACGACTCATGAAGTTGGACCAGCTAGAAGAGCGAGGTGCATGAGAATGCTGGGACCCTTTTTACACCTGGATCTTGCCCCCACATCCTCACCGCCTCGGCCATATCTAGGCCCACAGCTAGTTTGCGATTGTCCCTCTTGCGTTGTGATGTGGAATAACATAGGGCAGACCACGCTTCAATATTGGGCATAAATCTAAAATATCTCCAACAAGCTCACTGCGACTCACTGCTGCAGGAGTATAATCAGCCCTTTACTTGATACTTGTCGACTGGTCCCCAGTAAGGGGTAGGACTAAGGTGCGTTGAAGGTTAATTTGTTTTATTTTATTTTTTTGTCTTAAGTTACTACTCATTCTATATGTATGTTCAGTCTCCTTGTAAGTCAGTTAAAGGGACTAATGCTCAAGGCTAAGATGACCTTTGAGGTTCTTCGTTTAGCTCATTTGGGAATTTTGTGGCTTGTGGGCAGATTCAGAGACAACCGCTATAGACTTTGGAAGGCACACCCTGAGAGGATGTGTAGCTTTGTGAAAAGTCGAGGAAGAAACCTAACTCTGGGGCAATTTGGCTCTTTCCACAGCAATGATTAGAAATGTGGGCCTAAAACATAGAAGGTAAAGACATGCTCTAAAATCTGTGCTTATATCAATGATTTTGCTAAGCATGACTGGAATCAATTCTGTTAATACTCAAAGATGTTTCTTTCCTTTTTACTCACTCTGTGAGAAACATTCCTTCTAAGAACAGGAAGATCACACTAGGTGTGACCTGAGTTTAGGTCAGGTTTTGGTAATGATCAGGGTTTGGGGTAGGCCATAAAATAAATGGAAGTCAATGGAAAGTGTATGTATGGCTTAACATGCGTGGGAGGAGTGCGAGCTATCTGCCTGATGTGCTGCACGTTAGAGACTGACATTTTTTCGGGAATCCCACGGGTCACGGGATTACCGTGGGATTCCCGTGGGATGGGAGTCAGTATTAGTAACGATCACGTGATTGGGACGGTACAGGATTAGCAGACGGGAGCGGGAGCAAACCAATAGTAACTTAAATAAACTAGGATCGATGCCAAAAAATAAAATAAAATAGAAAGAAAAAAAATCCAGTACTGGCACCGCCATTTTGTAGTTTTTTTTCCTTGAAGCCTACACTATAATGTGAGTCAAAAAAACTACACAACCCAAAAACCAACAGTGCTTCCGCTCTGAGTTTTTCACCCGCGCTCAACAACAAGAATGGGAGTGGTGCAGGAGCGGGAGTCATTCTGAATGGGAGTGGGAGTAATTTCACCAGGAGTGGGACGGGACAGGATTTAGATTTCTACTCTGGCCCGGGAGTGGGCCAGGTTGTAGACTAAATGTTAAATAAAATAACAAATAGAATAGCAGAAGAAAACGTTAGCGTTTTGAAGATTTTAGTTCTTCTTTAACTAAACAAACTATATAAGAAATGAATAATGTAGTTTGGATTATATATATATATATATATATATATATATATATATATATATATACATATAGTTGGCTGAAGCTAATATGTTTTACAGGTTTTTCATTGTGTTTTTTCTTTTACTAAAAAAAACAACTATAATAGTTTAAACAATCATAAGCAGTCAGCTAAACAACCATTCCTGAGTCTTCTCTACACCACAGCAACAATTTATCTTACTCTTAGTAAAAAAAACTTTGGCATTTTTGTGTGCCTGTTGTTTGTCTTAACAACAGCTGTTAACCGTGTGCTTTGCCAGTGTAACAGACCTTTAGTCACAACATTAGTTTAGAAAAGCTGTGTTAGCCTTCTGTAACTCCTTTGTTATTAATAAATGTTTGATAATGACACTTCAGCTGAACAGCGACCTTAAGCAATGGACATGGAGCCATATTTGTTTGTACATTTGTATGTTTGTTTATAGTTATTGTTTTTTTGTTTTGTTTTTTGTTTTTACAGTTCATAGTATTTTTAAATTTTAACTTGTACAGAATGAATGTTTCTTTCTACATTTTTCTTAATAGTAATATTTCTGGTCCTTCCAAAAAATCCAGAAAATTAGCTTATTTTGCCCAGGGAGCTTAACAGACTATAGGACCACCCCTGGACAGACAGAGCAGGGCATTAAACCGACAATCTGCTCATTAGAAAACAAAATATGAGTCACTGTCATCCCCAAATAAAGAAATAATGAAATTTAAATGACAAATTTTAGAAGTGTGCTAAAACTGCATTTTTGAGAATAAACAATAACACAAAAAACACTACATTTGATTCTAAAAGAACTGAACTTCATCTCAAAATATACCAATTGGCCAACAAAAAATGCCATTCGTATCAGTAAAGTTAGTTAGAAATAATTAGAACACAAAGAAATGTTAAAGACTTGTAGGGACTGCTCTGACATCTTTAAATTACAAGATGAACTGATGACATTAATTTCCACTTATGAAAATAATTCCAGAGAGTGAAGAAAAGGAAAGTCTCTGGTGAATGCTGCAGTATTTTAGTTGTTTTTTGGGAACTCCAACCAAGGGACAGTGGCATTGTTGATGATTTATTTCTTGCCAACAGAGCCGGGGGTAAACTTTCCTCAGGTTCAGATCCATAAATCAAGACTCATCTCATTCAGGCCATGCTCCAATCCACTTAATGAAAATTTAATGCAGTGATTTATTTAATGGAAGTGAAAGTCTTCCTCCCACACATTTTTTTCTCGTCTAAATTACAGATTAGATTTTGCAAAATTGCAGTAAATCATAGGAAAACATGCTATTTTTGACATTTACGAGAGCTTTCATTAAAAAGCAATAAGTAATTAATATATTCCTTGAACAAGACAACTTTTTAACTTGATTTAAGTTTAAATCAAAATGAATTTTTGCTGAAGGCTGAAACGAATAGCCCATCAGAAAGGTGTTGAAACCAAAGCAGATTTTCTGTCAAAAATCTTAAAAAACATCATGTCAGTGTATGGTGCAATATGTTGTTAACCTCTGATCTATTGTCACCTTTGCTTTGGGAATTTATTTACACAGAGGTTGATAATTGTTTTCTGGAAAAACCTAAAGTAGTTGGTGTTACACCTCAAATGATATAAGGACATAACAGGTTAAAGGTATTGTGGAGGATTTTTTTAAAATCCCTTCTCCACTTTAAAACGAAAATGTGCATGCACGAGCCCATTTCTCCTTGTGCACATCCTATTCTGGGATATATCTGCCTCTTCTGAGGCCTTTCTTTTCTTCTCATACACTTCGTAGACACTTTTTTCTCTTACGACCCTCAGCCATTTCCAAAGAACCGCGGTGAGAAAGGGAACTTCAGTGACTGCTTGAAACCGTAGCTTGCCACAGATGCACCGCATGTGCAGAAAAAGACAGCTAACGAGGCAAGGATGTAGCACATCACCAGAATGATTGACAATTAGGAGGACCAGTTATTTAGATGATCCACACGGAAATAAAAGATCATCCTCTATACCTTTAAGCATCTATGGTCAGACTAAGAGAAGGTCAAAAGTCAAAGATAGCTGCTGAAGAGGTGATCCCTTTCATCAAATTTGTTGGGAAGCTAGATACATTTGACTTTTTGGGCACAATTAAAAGAGTTTCAAATACCTGGATGTTCACATCAATAATAAACTGGACTGGACTCATAACACTGTCACCCTGTATAAGAAGGGACAGGGCCGCCTCTACCTCTTGAAGAGGCTGAGGTCCTTGGAGTGAGCAGGCCCCTGCAGCACAGAGCAGGACAGAAAGTGACTGAACAAACTAGTGAGAAAGGCCGTTTCTGTCCTACGCTGCACTCTGGACTCAGTGGAGGAAGTGGCTGGGAGGAGGGTGCAGCCAAAGCAGCTACTTTAGTGAAAGACTTTTACACCCTGTTTATAAAAAAAAAAACGCTACCGCAGTTCATTCATCCCTGCTGCCATCAGACTCTACACTGCAACACTACAACAGCAATAACTTGTGCAATATCTAATGTGCAATTACCATTTAATACTATGTGCAATAACCTGTTTCTTTATATTTGGCACCCAGTGCAATAGCTATATATATATATATATATATATATATATATATATATATATATATACATAACTGTCCATCTATACAAATAATCATGTAAACACCCTATGCAATGACCCTGTATAATAATCCTGCTATAGAAAAAAAAAAAAGGCTTACATGTACGGACGCACTTTATATACTGTATTTATACCATGCTTGTTTTTCTTCCTTTGGCACCTACTTCTTCTGTTTTTGACTATTTGAGCTGATGTAAAGTGTAAAATTCTCCACTGTGATATCTATAAAGTAAATCAATCAATCAATAATTAGCACAAATATTAATGATTAATAAATAAATAACTGAGGATAAATCTTACAGATATGAAGAGTTTTAATGCATGCTAGCCTAGTGGGAATGGTGGCCTATATCATTTAGAGCAGACGGTCTAAATTACCCAGTTCACCCTGACCCGTTAACTCCAGGCTGCCCCCAGGTACTATTCAATGTGTGCAGCCCACTGCTCCGTAAGGGATGGGATGAATGCAGAGACAAATGTCTCACAGTTGGTCAGCTACAGGATATTAAAAGCAAAAGTTAATGACATAATGATTTGCAGAAACCTGGATCCATGAGACAGTAAAACAGTAGTAGTTTGCTCTGGTCACATTGGTCAAAGCTCGTCATTGATAAAATGTTAGCTTAAAACTCAGCTCTAAAAGAATGCAGCTCCAACATAATGAATTAGTTCAACTGGTAATAAGTAATACAATCATGATGGGCAAACTTAATCCAATTACCTGTCACCAACTGGAGAAGTTCATTTAAGGCGAAATTGCATTCTATTTTGTAGTATAGGACCAATAAAAACACCAAAATAGTCAAGACTGTATTTCAAAAAGGTTAACACATTATTCACGATTCGCTAACTGTTATAAGTATTTGACAATTCTTTATTCAAACATCCTAACCTATTTCAAAAATGAACCTAAATGTAGTGTGAACATTTTTACATGCATTGAAGGCATCAGACAGGAATCAAATTAAAAACAAAAACAGGTATTTACCATTTTTTCATACACCTGCCATTGCAGAGTGGGTTCAGGATACCATCCAGCTCCTTGGCACTGAAACAGGACCAACTCTCCTTTAAAAGCCAACCGGTTCTCTCCAAACAGCCTCACAGTGCCCTTCTCTGTAGCAAAAAGAAAGAAAAGTTCTCACACACTTGAAAAAAAAAATTATGAAATTTTGTCTCCACCTCATGTTTACTGATACTCCATCTTATTTATTTAACCTTCCTGACTTTTAATTAAGGATGACATCTTTGCTTAACTTGATATTTTAAAACAAGGATTTCATTCATCTTTAGTTCTGGTTTCTTAGTCTCAGTTGCCTAATGAATCCCTCTTCCTTTACTCCAGTCCATCTCAATTTCTGCTTGACAGATCAGCTGCTTAGCTCCCTGAGAGAGACAGTAGCTCTGTGAAGTCCGACGTCTGATAACATGAAGGGATATGGATGCACAAGATAAGTCCTATAGACAGACAGATGATTGGAGGGGATTTGGTGGTGCGTCAATGCAAAATGACACATTTATATCGACTAGGTTTTAAATCCTCCGATGTGTTTTATGAATAACTGGCTGCTATTTTCTGATGCGCTTTGATTCGCTGGGAGGATTTCTTGTTAGAGATGCTACATAAACCCATATTTAAAGTGAATGGTTCATACTGGGGGAACTTTAGCTTCTCTGACATATATCTGACCTTGTCACCAGTATTATACCACAAAAAATTATCATAATAATCACATTTGTTTGTCATTGCGTTTCTATATACAATTGCAATTACGCCGCTGCATTTAATTTTTTGCTAGACCAGTAGTCACATTGGTGTGGTTCTATCGTTTTCATGAAGGCTGAATGCAGAGTATGTACAACTATCTGCTGTCTTCGTAATAAATGTGTTTTTGCAGCTCCTCCACAGTTTTTGGCTACTTTCTCATATGATTATTGCCATTGTGTGGGCTCTCAGTTTCAGCTGCTCATCATTTCTTTCTCTGTTTGTACTTTCTTTCCTACTAAATAGATCATGAATCAACCAATAATTGTGTTACAAGCTTTGGATGATTATTTTTAAACTCTCTCGACATCGATTCACATTATCCTACTCTCATATTATCCTTTTTTACTTTGCATTGGATTGTTACGTTGAAATAATACTGACAAAAAGAGGAAAATATAAAGAGTTTTTAAACATTTTGCAAAAAACTATAAATGTAGGGTTAGTTTTGTTCGGCTGCATTTGTGTTTCACTGTGCGAATTGTCTTCACCCGTCTGAGGAAAAGTCTATTCAAACTTGTCTATCCACCACACCACCAGGCAATATTACCTCAGGGAGGTTCTATTTTCTCTGATTTATATCAGAGATCTCCTGCTTGTCATCAACAGTATATGCGCTCATATCGATCTGCTCCGGTGAAGGGTTTGTGTTGATGTACTGCAGCTGTGACTGAGTGGGCAGCCAGACACAGAGCAGCCTGTGTGCATTCACGTTTACATCATTTTCAAATGGAACAATTAAAGCAGGGAGGGGTGGAGGAGATTACACAGAGTCAATGGGGCTCGCTGTAAATTTGTGGCTCAACTTGCTCTGTCTGTTTGAGTCTGCAGTAAACAAATCACAAGCAGAGTTGCTGACTGTTAAGTTGCCGTGCCAGCACGCACGATTAATTCAGAGGCTATGTCAAGCCAGAGCAATCTTCTGTATCCAGACTGCGGTGGTGGTTGGGAGGGCTGATTCACCATACAGTACTGGTACTGGTAATGGCTGCACCTCTCAGTTTTGTGGCACTGGCAGCACTGAGAGTCTCTCTTTGTAAAATATTGGAAGAACTTGTCATTTTTTTCAGGGCTTTTTTTTAAATACTTTTTTAAATGCAGTTACTGTAAATGCAAATACATCTATATATATTGAATTCTCATTTTTTCCTCCCTGGTAGAGCCCTTCCATCAGCCCAAGTCTAGAAAAATGATGTAACCAATAGGTCATTCCAGAATGACTGATTTATGTTTTAAAATTTTCAAGCTTGTCCAAAACTGATGCAGAATCTATTTTCATAGGATGTCCCTTAGCGCCTAAATCATGTAGCAGTAAAATATCCCACTGAAGAATGAAACAGACAGGCTGACATATACTCAGTTTTACTAATTACCACTTAGTAAACAGTGGGCTTAATATATATATACTTGTATAAGCAGTTATTGATCAACATCCAATTATAAAGGAACACTTAAAAGTAAAATATCATGTAAACTCATGAAAAGTTATATTTAAATAATGTATGAAATATTTACTAATCAAAACATACTTTATTGCCAATGGTGATTTTAATGGTACATTTCAAAAAACCTACTAATCTGTAGGACTTTGGTTTTCTCTGGTTTTGAATTTAGAACCATCTGAACTTAATTTCTGTGCATTCTGGTGGTTTCTGTTACTGCTCACTTTGGTGCAGTCAGGCTTTGTTGGGTAATTGCTTTTGTATCCTCTGAGTTTTTATTTTATTTTCATTGAGTCATTGTCTCTGCACAGCCTCTCTCAGTTGCCTGTAGCATCCAGTCAGGTAATTAACCAGTTTTTGTCTCAGAATCAGGGCCGGCGATTGCTATAGGCGAGCTAGGCAATTGCCTAGGGCGACAAATGTGTTGGGGGCGCCCTCTAGCGTCGCCCTTAGGCTTACTTCCCATTAATCATAGAATTAGATTAAAAAGCGAATTAAACCGGTTATGAAGCGTCCGTCAGTTTGACTTAACCTTACGTATATATAAATAGCAAAATATGAACAAATAAATATACCACCGTTTTTTTTTTTTTTTTTCACATTTAAGAGAAAATCGGAAAAGATTCTGGTCACTTTTCAAGCGCCCTCCAACCCGGAAGTCGTGACGTCAATCACTGCAGCATGTACACCAATATTTTGGAATGAAATTGTAAGCAAACAGATATTAAAAGTAAAACAAGTGAAGTCTGGCACTTAACTTTTCCTCCTCCTCCTGCCGCCGCAGTCGGGCCCATCTTAATCATCCACTCAGAGTACCACTGGTAAGCGCACACAGACTTTGTAGCTTGTCCATCAGTTAAAAATAGTAATTGTGAAATCCGTGTTGTAATCGGCAGCATACAAGCTAGTTAGCTTGAAAAGTAAATAAAGTTTCAGACGTGCTGCGTGATGATGTGTTCAGATTGGCTCAGTAAAATGACAATTAGGTTATCATGATGCGTTCAAGTGTAACGTAAAGAAAACGGGAAATTTTGTTTTTGGCGAGAAACATGAGTAATACAGTTGTATATTGCTCTATATATAATTAAACTACTGATGCCAACATTTATTAAAAATTACATTTAATTTAAAATACAATTATTTATTTGTTAAATATTTTCCTTATCACTAAAAACATGATGAAAAGTGACAGTAGACAATACATTAACCAACAATTGTGAAAATATATTCTAGTTAGTTTTATGTCATTTCCAAGTGGCCTATTACATTAGCCATGTTTATTGAAGGCTAGAAACCTTTTTGTTATGCTCACTTGTTAAGCAATAAAAGCAATACCAGTTCTGTTAAAAAAAAATTTGTTGCATCGTCTTTCCACCAAATAACAGAAAAGTATCGATAGTGGTATCGATAAAGACTCGGATCAATAAGGAGTATTGATAAAGGTATCGATATCATTAAATATTAACGATCCCCATCCCTAATGTTGACATCATTTTTTTCTCAGTATATATGCAGCAGAATTATGTGCTATATTATTAGCTTGAGAATGGGTAGAAGATACTAATATAAATAAAATATTTTGTAGTGATTATCTGCATTGAGTATTCAAAAGGGATGTACAAATAATCATCAAAATATATGAAGTTATGGCTGTTCATCATAGAATATGTGAACAAAAAAAAAAAAAACAACTTCAAACTTTTAATTTTGTAATGGTATTCATAAAAGCACTTTTGTTTGTAGAGGGTTAATCCTTTCTTTAATCACTAATCAATGTCAGAAATCAGGGTAAATATACCTGATATATTTTATTTAGAGGAAAATTTTGTTTATCTCATTTCTATTTATGTTCAAATGAAACTCGATCTCGCCTAGGGCAACCAAAGGGCTAGAACCGGCCATGCTCAGAATCACCCGACCAGAACAATTACCTCCTGAATCCCTCTGTCCAGGGTCAAACCTTCACATTATCAATCCTCTGTCACCAGTTGCTTTTTGTTAAGTTTTCCTTGTTTATCATCCCTCTCCGTAGTTAGATCTTGGATTTAACTTGGATCTTGTTTGCCTTTTTCTTTGTGTTTGGGTCCTCCACAAGAACTTGTGACTCGATCAGTCTCATTTTCACTAGACTTAAATAGCTCAATGCTTTATATCCTTCATGTATTTAATTTTACCACAGTATAACATCTGAATACATCAGATTAGGTGTTATAGAGGTTATTTTTCATAGGAACTATTTAGAAGACATTAAAAAAGTATGGTAGTATGCAGTAAATGGGCATTCTGAATGTTGTGAATTATAATTTTTTTTTTATCTTAATTGACAAGACTTCCAAATACTTAAGTACTGTTAGTACAATATTTTTCTAAATGTATTCTTGTAAATTCTCTTTTTGAAGGGCATTAAAATCATTGCTCTTCTCCCCCCCGTTGCTTCACAGAAACATGTGAGACCTCCTACGACTTACAAACATAGGATTGAGGGCTAAAAGTGGGGGACAGTGTTGAAAAGATGTTCAACCTTAGATTTACCAAGTGCCAAAAAGCATCAAAACTGCTTTTGTGGTTTTTAAAAATAAAGGTTTTATAAACCTCCAGCTGATTTAAAATAATCTCTGTTCTGAAATGCTGTTCAGGCTGGACTGGTTTGACAAGAGCGTAACATGGTGGTTCAAATATAAACAAATAATGACTTGTTTATTTCAAAACTGCAAAAAGAAAAAAATTAAAGTTCTTCAGCTCTGTCTACAAGCTGAGGTGGTGGGTAATACTGTTTACAGCTCTGACACTGTGTGCGCACAGGGGAGGGGGCATTAAAACTTATTTCCAAACAAAACTAAATAAATGCCACTGTGAGTAACGCTGTTTAAACTTTGTCAATGGAAAAACAGACCAAAGTTACCATTGTGAATTTAACTTAAGTTGAAAATACCGGAATCCCAAAATAAAATATAATTTAACTCTGAAAACTGTATGAATATCAGTTGGAAAACATTCGATTTTACTGTGTGTTAATCATTTTGCCCATTTCATACCACTGTAGTTATGACAATATCTTATTTGAAAACTGTAAGAGAGGAATCCCACATGGGATGTTTCATACCAAACTTCACCAAATTGAATGACATTTCAAAGCAATGATCAAAAGTAACTTTCTATATTCAATTATATGTTTATTAATCTTTGTTAAGATGAATAAAGATATACTGTAACTGTTGGGTCCCACTTATTTTGTCTGAATCGTGGTCTTACAGTCTGTATTTTATGGAAAATTTTTAAAAACTCAAACAGTAACTTAAAAAAAAATAGAAACAATGTATTACAATACATTGAATTAAACATAAAACATAATTCTTGTTACTGCAAAACAAGGAGCGATATACTAATATACACTGGTCTACGTGAAAAGGATTCAGCTCGCCCATGGATATGGGAGGAATGATTAGGCAGAAAATAGGTTTACAATTCAACATAGAGAGACTTGATCAAAAGTGTGTTTAATTTCACACATAAAACTGTTTTGGTCCTCTCAGTTCTAAGATATGTTTGTGTCGTCACTGTAATTTATTTCCATTTAGCCCCTAAGCAAATTGAAATTAGGATGTGGAAAAAGGTCCTGGTTAGATTCCACTATGAAGATATTATCTTTCCTTTGAAAAAAGAAAATACTTTCCTCCTCATCCATTCTAATTCTTTGTGTAAGGAAAGTATTGCAATAAACAGAATGATAAATGGGCGATTCTTACATAAGTTGGGATCACACTGCAGCAATCTCCTGCTTGTGAATACCAGAGAACCAGCAGTCCTAATCATCCCTGAATCTTAAATTATCTCACAACCTCTGGCCCAACATTTGTATAAGATCCACTAAATGGAGAAGAGAGGGAGGGGAAATTGGCTGCAGGTGCAGGCTGTAAATCCTGCACTGCTGCCTCATCCAACTGCCATGGAGTCTATCCATTTCCATCTCGTATTTATAACGGCAGTCCAATAAATTCCCTGCCCCCACCCCCACTGCCATTAAGCCGTTGTCACAGAAACCATAAAACATGTCGGCCCAACTTCACGCCACCACACAGGCCCTGATAATTCCTCCCACCCTCCATGATTGATCCTCTGCATGTACGTTCAGTTTCCTTCACCGAAAAATAAAAGCTTCAAAGTGAGTTCAAAGAAAAGTACTTAAGAAGTGCAAGTTGAATGCCATACCGCTTCTTTTGTTTTTTCGAAAAGAAGGGGGAGCGTGGGCAGGCAGAATTAAAGCTGCAGCACAACTTTGCCTGTGTCCCTTCTTTTACCTCAGTTTTTACCCATACTGCCTTCTGCTTCATCAGGGTTAAATTCAGTGTGTTTCTGGACTCTTTCACATGGAGCTGATTTTTTTTTAGATACAACTTCCCATCTGCTTGTTGTTTTATGGGCAAGATGGTGTTTGAGCTTATGTGTGTTTGAGAGATTCACACACACAAAAAAACAAGAACCTTTAATTTACAGTCATTTAAAAATGGACACTTACTGAATTAGCTTGAAGGGGAACGCCGTTTTTTTTTACATTGGCCCCTTGATTTTACGTTATTACATCATGTTCTACTCACCGATATGAGTTTTGTGTCATTTGGAGCTGTTCTGAAGATATTCGGTTAGGTTATGTCCAAGTAGCGTCTTCCTATGGGCAATGAGTTGAAGGCACAAACTAAACTATTCATAATTTATCATTTATGGTACGCCAGGATTCATAACATGTAGGCGTCACTGTCCCCAGGACATCCGCGGTTATATATTTTATATTTATATACGGAGTGTGTATGACGTCATCCTCATAAAACTAATATGGGTGAGTAGAATATGATGTAATAACGTAAAATCAAGGGCCCAATGTAAAAAAAAAACGGCGTTCCCCTTTAACACATTGAGGAATACTGTGCCTGTAAAAGTGTACATAACTAAAAAACTGTTGCAAACCTCAACTGGTTTTATTGGGATGTCTGTCAACCAACAAAAAAAAGGGTTTTACTGTGGAAGTTGAAGGAAAATGGCAAGTCACATAGGGGGAACAGCAATTACGTGGAATATGCTAGAATAATAGTGAGTAACCAGAGCTGCACCTTAAGCCGGGCATACACTGTACGACTTTTTTGCCCTTTTCGGGCCGATTCTCCAGTCGTGCAAGAATTCTTTTCAATCGGGCCGAATTTCAGCCTGATCGTGCCTCCTGCATTGTATATTATACATGGGATAATGAGGAGCGATTAGCCTCACACGACCACCTCCCGATCAGGAGTCGTAAGGTTGAGAGAAAATCAAACATGTTTAAATGCAGTCGGCCGCCGTGAGGTGTTCGTGGACAAATGCTGCTGGTGTAGCAGAGCTACAAGCCAATTTACCAGAACCCGGAGCACTGCACATGTGCAAATAAGGGAGTTCTTCTTCTTCTTCCAGATTGACAAGTCCGAGCAGTACCATCTCTTGGCGCTCAGACGTGTGGTTTTTGGACGTGTAGTGTGAGCAGGTAGATCGCATATCAGAGCGTCGGGTCGCACAGTGCGAGAACATGCATCATGAGCTGTGAACTTTTAATCCCTGTGGTTTCGGCGTACAGTTTGGGTAGTAGCTGTGTGCAACGATTGAAAATGTCGCACATTGTATGCCCGGCTTTAAAGGTACACTATGCAACCGGTGTTGATTTTCCAGCGAGGCTCCCCCCAGAGGGCGAAAGTAAAAGTGCACTGTCGTAAATATGCACAGCTGTTCTCCTGGTTTCTCCGTCAAGCCAGGCGCGGTTGTTTTGAGCTTAGCAGACAGGCGAACGCAACGAATGACTAATGCTGCGTTCACACCGCAGCTGGCGCGACAGAAGCAGCGAGTTTACATGCAAAGTCAATGGTTGACGCGCGTCAAGGCGCAGCAAAAGGTCCCGCGGCGCGTTTTGAGCAGCAGGCCCAGCGCGTCTGAGCAGCTGAAAGGCGCATTTAATCATCTGACGCAGGGAGAGAGACACAGCGCTGATGATCAGAGGCTATGATCTCTCCTCTTAAACAGTTTATTGACGCCTAAATTAACTTAAAATGCAGAAATCTGCCAGCAGAATATGCATTTTGGATTATTTAGATGAAAAACACCTACCAGCTGCCGCGGTGAACCGCGAGGAGGCCAGAGGCTGCTGATGAAGGGATTCCTTCTGTCGGCGCACTGCTGGTATGTGGGGGTCTGAGCGGCTCCGACAGAAAAAATATTGAAGGCAGGATAATAATCTGAATGAACTGACGGCACTGATTACGTTTTCAGGTGTATTTTCTCATTTAAACACATACACATATTAAAACTACTTTATTCCAAATGATCACAGCAAATATAGCTGCAAGGCAGAGAAAGGATAGTGAAACTCCGCCCAACGCGCGTCAGACACACTTTTGCACCGTGCAGCCAGAGCAGCAAAGCTGCTTCAGCCGCGCGTCAGAACTAACTGGTACAAGCAGCAAAAATGAAGCAGCAGACGCGATTTTGCTGCTTTTGCTGCGTGAACGTAGCATAACTGCACAAAGATCGCCACTGTGCTAGCAACGAGAATGCTTTTAACTGGGGGCATGTAGCAGTTCTCGCCGTAAAGCAAGACTGACTCTCGTGAGACTTGTGAGCCTGTGGGTGCGGGTCGGTGCTCCTGCAATTGCAAGTGCAGTATTTCCCCCACAGACCACCAGGGCGGCCGAGAATACCTTTGTTCAACCTGAAATGACTCATTTAATCATCCAAAACGTTATGGAACACATTAATTAACTGAAAAATGTTGCATAGTGTGCCTTTAAACACACCATCCTCATAGTTGAACATGGTGGTGGTGGCATGGGAAGCTTTACGAAGCTGAAGGCAGGACAAATCGGGAGAAACCCTGTCAAGAGGTCGCAGAAACTTTTGAACTGTGGCTAAGCTTAGATTTAAACAGGATGAATGTACCTACCTTGTACGAACAGCGCTGCTGTCCTTTTATCAATCTGTTGCAAATCACACACAACTTGTCCTTGGCTGTCCCTCTCTGTCCTCCTCAGTATAAACTCCCAGCAGTCTGTTTTTGAGCTGGAGCATTTCACAGCCGTCACGTTTGGGTTGACAGAAGGCAAAACTCCATTCTGCTTGGAGATAGTTAGTACTGGTCTATCCCTTAGAAGCCACACCATGACAGTCCATAGAGTGTTGGAGGTGCTGCAAGTGAATTTGGCCTCATCTCCTCGGACGACCGTGAGGCTCGCAGGGGTCAGAGTCATCTGTGTTCTTACTGATAAAGACATATTCCAGAGCAACATATATCACTTTAATATGCATTCTATATTCAACAAGCATATTTAACAAAGAATACTGAAAGGGTTTAATATTCTACAAAGCAATTGGTAAGAATTGTAAACTTTCAATACTATTATATGCTTTTTATTTACTCCTCAAACATCACTTTGATCCATCATTAAAAGGCAGATTAGCAACTTTATGAATCTTTGTGCCATTTAATTTCACCAAGAGGTGAAATTTTTAGTTTGTTTGGTTTTTGAAAAAGTGATTAAAGCCTTTTGATTATTGGAGCATTTGATTATTTCTACCTTGTCGCATGTGCTGCTAAGTCAATAATTGAGTCACATCAGGGGTATTTATGCATGTTGCTTTTAAAGCAGTAGTGAATGTATGTTGGAATAATGGGTGTTGAATTTACAGTTTTCACTCCATCATTAAAAGGTCCATTACTTTTGCAGTAGTTAAAGGGCTGCTTTTTTCACTTAAGAACCATCTTTGAATGTTCACATGTAAACAAAATTGTTGGTACCTGTTGTTTAATAAAAGTAAATCACACAATGGTCACATTTAATAACTTGAATATGAGAAGCCAATTGATTTCTAAATCAATCTTTAATAGAATGATTTAGAAAAATAAAACAATGAAACAGGCCTGCACAAAAGCGCTTTAATCCCTAGAAAAAATTAAAACAATGGGACCAAGGAGACATTTTGAATCATGGTGTGTCCACTAATTAACATCATGGTGTGTACCACACTCAACACGGACCAGAGAAAGAGAAGGAAATAGTTGTCTCAGGAGGTGAGAAAGGAAAATATAGACAAGGGTGTTAAAGGTAAAGGCTATAAGACCCTGTCCCGTGAGCTGCCGCTGAAAAATTATCCAGAAGTTTGGAAACACTGACATTGTTGTCAGCCTCCTTAGACATGTCCAAGGAGCTCAACTAAAAAACAATCAATAAAGAGATTAAGCCAACACTAAGTCACTTTTTTAAACTTCCTAAAATATTTTCATAATATTTGTGATTATAGGTCAACTTACAACTAGTTGAATGACACCACTGATGGTCTAAGGGAGTCTGTATCGCTTTCACCTACACTAGGCAACTTTGTGCAGGAGTAACCCTGCCGTACAAAACAACTACAAATGGTTTACGGCATACGTCACTTCTCACTTTCCCCATTTATTATAAAGATGGAAGTCAATGTGATTAAATTTCCCTAAGAGACTGTTGGTGTGTTCGGATCTGGTGGCTGTGTCCTCGGGCAGCGAGATTTGTCGCCCAAATACAAAACAGCGCAGCGCCGTGGCCTGTTCAGACTGGAGGGCTCCTCATTATGCAGCCCACAAACGCAGCCTTCTTTTTACCCGTTTTGAAGGACAGGTCCAGTTTATCCTCTTTAGCCTTGGGTATCCAAGCCTTGTGCAACTAAATATTAAGTTAAGGGTTACATCTATTTTGTACAGCCCTCTTTAATGAGTTTATTTTTTAAAGCATTCTGTTGAGGCATGTATGAAAAGCAAGGTCTGACTTATATTTGTTAACTTTCATAGAATTTTACCTATTATCATTTTTGTCAGTTTCAAATAATTTCTATGACCATTGTGGATTTTTCATGCATTAAATGAGAGTATGTTCAATTTTCTAAGATATTATTTAGCCGAATTAGAATAGAACGGAAACAACTCTATTGTCCCACAGTGAGGTATTTTGGATGTGGCAAAAACGCATTCACAAAAAACACCAGACTTACAGATTATATTAAGGTGAAATGAATTAATAAGGAAGCAAACTTAAATAAAATATTAGCCAAATTAATCAATATGTAAGTCACAGAATGAAGTTACCAGAATATTAAACAATCATATTGTCCCACCAAATGATGAATGCCATGATGTTAAAGTATTAGTAAAGTGTTTGGACATTAATTAGCGGAACCAGGTAGTTAGAATCAGTTATTTATGAAATGCAATTTAGTGATTAAACTCTGGATAAACTTTTTTAAGCTTGTTGAAATCTCGTAAAAAGGAGTCTGTAACAGATTTCCTTGGAAAACAAGAGAAAATATTTGCTGAACTCTCACCTTCACTCTGGCATGAAAGAAGCAGCACTAAAAGAGGAAGAATATCCATGTTTGAAAAGTCAGCTTTTTATTTACAGGCCATCCTACAAAAAGAAAAAAAAAGTCAACATTTTATACTCACCACATATTTTTCATCAGATTTTGTTTTACAGAGGGCCAAGAAGCATTTGTTTTTTTTATCTTTTGGCCTACTTCAAGTTGCATTAAAGTACCTGGTTGTTTGATTCTTCTATTCAGTAATCAGCCTTGGTTAGGTCTTATCAATTTTTTTATATCTTTTTTATTGTTGGCATATTTTTTCATTAATAATTATACATTATTTGAAACTGCTCTTTGCTTTTACTCAGATTTTTTTTAAGATATTTTGGGATAATTACTTTTTTTAAAGCACCATGACAATTTTATGACCTTATAGGTTGTAGCCATTAAATTCCCCACAAATCTGTGTCTACATCCTCTAAATCAACGTTGATTTTTCTGAGGTGAAATAGAAGAAGTAAAAATCACAAAACATCCAGCGGATCGAGTTTATTTTTTCCCAATAAAAACTTATGGGGATTATTTGTATTTATGTATGCATGTATTCTTTTCTTTTGTTCTAAAGTTAAAGATATCCCAATGCCTGAATGCCTGCTCGACAGTCCAGACTATTCTTGCCTTACTTGTTTATATCTGCATGAAGCACATTTGCATAATGCCTCTACAGTAGCTGAGTTTGGCACAGTCACACAAAAAATTTTAAAACAATAAACAGCTGCTTCACACTCCAACATTTTTTTTTCTAATCTGCGCCAGCAGAGCTCTTTGCAAAAGAGGCCTTAGGGCTCTTATACACAAAACACCTTCAGGGACCAGCAGCAACATTACAGCCCCTAAAAATATCGACTCATTTTATCAGAGAAACAAAATTACACTGGACCCCTTAAGATCCAGCTCTAATCTTCAAAAAACACTTAACCAAAGGGCCAGAAGGTAGCAGAGAAGAAAAGATTTAGCTAAAATATCCATAGGGTTTTACTGCAGGAACATTTTTGGATTCAAAAATTCATGCTTCCCTTTGCATAAAACATTTAGGGGTTTTTTAAGCATGTATCCCTTTTAAAAACATCTAACTTTTATACATTTTGTATGTGAAATAGATTTCATTTTTACTTTAAAACACATCCATTCATCCACTCCTCTGCCCATCCATCCATCCATCCATCCATCCATACCTCCATCATCCACCCATCCATCCATCCATCCATCCATACCTCCATCCATCCATACCTCCATCATCCACCCATCCATCCATCCATCCATCCATCCATCCATACCTCCATCCATCCATCCATCCATCCATCTATCCATACCTCCATCCATCCATCCATCCATCCATCCATCCATCCATCCATCCACCCATCCATCCATCCATCCATACCTCCATCCACCCATCCATCCATCCATCCATACCTCCATCCATCCATCCCTCCATCCATATCTCCATCCATCCATCCATCCATCCATCCATCCATACACACCTCCATCCATCCATCCATCCATACCTCCATCCATCCATCCATCCATCCATCCATCCATCCATACCTCCATCCATCCATCCATCCATCCATCCATCTCTCCATTCATCCATCCATTCATTAATCCACCCATCTATCCATCCCTAGATCAATCCATCCCTCAATTTATCTATTCATCCCTCCATCCCTCGATCCATCCATACATCCACCCATCCCTCCATCCCTTGATCAATCCATCCCTCAACTCATTCATCAATACATCCATCCATGCATCCATCCATCCCTCGATTAATCCATTCATCCAATTAATTTATCCATCCATCCCTCAATCCACCCATGCATCGATCCATCCCTCGATTAATCTATCCATCCATTCATTCATCCATCCACCTATCCCTCTATCCATCCGTCCATTCATTCATTCATTCATTTATCCCTCCATCCACCCATTCATCCATGAATTCATCCATCCCTCGATCAGTCTATCCAACCGTTACTTCATTAATCCATCCATCCATCCATCATTCCATCATTCCATCCAATAATCTTCATCCTCTTTTATATAATCTACTATGTGGCTACTTATAATTAACTTGAACCTTTGCTGCTTTTTGCTCAGAGTTGGTTGTTCCCCTTTAACCATAACAACCTCTTTAGGAATGTAGTTTAAGCTCTACCTGTCAGCAGTCAGACTCCTTGCGACTTTTTTAGCTGGGATTTCCTGCTTCAGACTTAAAACAGCATTATTATGAGATTTATTTTGTAAGGAACACTGCTTGAGTTTGACATTTCTATAACATTTGGTTTAAGCTTTCTTTAGATTACATTAGTTTAATTTTAATAAAATCCATGACCGTGGCAATGTGACACTCCAAGGTAATATTCATTAATGTTACAGTATCTCTGCCTTTATGGTGAATGGTTGATTCTTATTTAAATTAAAGTTAGGCGTGAGTACAGTTCACCAGTTCTACTGCATTAACTCATAACAACTTTGCAACATACCTAGGCTTTCCATTTTCACAGAGTAAATATGAAATAAAGAACACTCCAAAAGCACGACTGATATAAATACAAAAGGTTAAGCTGTGAGGATTTCTGCAGATAGCAGATGAAGTCAATGCACACAACCAAACAGGGCTGCACCAGTTAAACATCAGCCAATAATATCTAATGCCCCATGTGCTGATTGGTCAATATCAAGGGAAACTGGCTGGCTATTGATCTGACTTGATTTTTGATAGAAGATTAGCTCATGGCTAAATATTTCTAAGTCTAAATCGGATTTCACATGAATGGACTGACTGAGAATTTACAAGATTATAACTTTGACAACACCGTATTCCTAAACAGGTTCTATATATCTATATACTTACATTGACTGAACTGATTTTATGTTAAATTACAAAAAAAAAAACTACTCACTATAAACCTTTAAAAAGATTTTTACCTATTTCATAAAAATATCTACCATATTATCTTGGTTCCTAACATAATGAACTATCGATGCACATTATTCTGAAAGACATCACATTTTGCATTAATCTGGAAAGATTGGAGTACAAATTCTCTAAAACCTGTCCTGCACTTTCCTCTGATGTTTTCCCTCTTCTTTGCCTGCTGATAACCCGTGAAATCAAATAGTAATTTCCTGTCTAAATACTCCCCAATGCTGTGCACCATTAAGAACATTGGTGAACAAAACTGTAACACTTACATTTGCATAAAAATACAAGTCACAGTTTTAACACAATGAAAAATACTCCAATCACCTAGAATGGTAGCATAGAGCATCTACAGCGATCCTTTGCACCGTCAGTGTTTCTAGGTTATTTCCCACAGGGCAGAAAGCTTGATTTCTACTGTTAAGTTATTATAAACGTGCAATAAACACCCATAAAATAAGATCCATTCATTTTTCTTACCTCAGTCTGGTGTTCCTGTGCATAAACACACTAAGAGGAAGCATTTCAGCCATACCATTCCTCTCCTTGCACCGGGTGTACAGTGATGTCATCCAGAACTGTTCTGTTAAACATTAAAGAGCTCAGGAAACTTTGCCCCATGATTCACACACACAAGCGTTATATCCTGCTATCCTTATGGGGACTTTGTATTGACTTGCATTCATTTCACCTTTATCTCTTTGGATTTACTCAAAACCTATCTATTACCAACCTTAAACTCAATCCACACCGTAGTCCTAAACCTAATGAATAAAAATGTTCCTCTTTCCAAAATGTCATTTATGTCCCAACAAAGTAGCATATTCCTGGGAATTTGGCCTTGCACTGCACCCACAAGGTAACAGATACTTGGCCACACACACAGATAAACTGCAAACAATATGCACTGATAATACTGGATTTTTTTTTCTTTTTTAGTTACAGCTTGTGTTAAATATTGTTAAATTAGTGTGGGGGATTGTATTTGAGTCAATGAGTCAATGCAATCAACTGGTTTTCCTTAGATAGAAAACTTTGTATCAATTTGATCTGGTTGAACTGTAAAGTGCCTTGAGATGACATGTGTTGTGAATTTGGCGCTATATAAATAAACTGAATTGAATTGAAATTGAAATTGTGTTAAAGCGTCTGTAACAGTGGTGGATTATGCAAATTGAAACATGCCAGATATTGCCAAGGCCCCATTAATATTAACGCTCCCCTTTAATACCTAATGAAGTGAATATTGTAAATCTTTATAGATTTATGATGTTGTCTTAGAAAGTCTAAAAAAGCTAAAAGAAAAAAAAACAACTTTAAAAGATAAATGTCGAAAAATAAAAGCATTTACAACAAAGTGTTGTTAGAGAAATGAGAATCAGATGGAAGAAAGGAGATGAGATGCAATGAAATATAACTATATATATGAAATTGTTATTTGGAACAGGAAGAGTTTCACCAAAAACTGTTTTATAATGTTCATTATATTTTTCATAAATGTGTTTTGTCCAAATATTTATGATATTTAGGAATATATTATTCAGAGATTTATGTGATAACAACACAAAAGGGAGGAGCATATATATGGAAAATAGAGGCGACCTAAGTTGGCCCCTTAAAGGAATAGTACACCCAAAACATGATTAGCCTTCATTTTCTACTCACCCCCATGCTGAACAACACTCTGGAGTACTTTTTTGATATCTCAAATGCATCTGGAGATCTGGGAGGCTTCTTGCTGTCTGCTGACATTCAAATAATAGAGGTCCATGGCGCCCGAGGCAGAAAGGTCCAAAAAGTCCACAAAAAACGTGTCAATATTCCTCCATACTGCTCGTCCAATGTATTCCAAGTGTCCTGAGTGGGTAGCATCCAGAATTTACTCGAAACGAAGTCATTTAGAATGTTTTTAGAGCATAAACAGTAGTGTATAGGATTTCCTAAAAGCACACGCCTACGAGTTCACAAGCCTAAGGAAGCCGGCAGACCAAACCAGATGAAAGTGCGCATTCAGCGTCTGCTCTTGATAATGCAAGCGTAGAAGAAGAAATTTGCTGTTTACCTGTGCAAAGAAAGAAACAACGAAAGAAAAATGTCTGAGGACTTCAGTGTTGAGGAAGAGCATGAGTTCTTTGCCGAGCTGAATGCGCACTTTCATCTGGTTTGGTCTGCCGCGGTTTCCGTAGACTCGTGAACTCGCAGGCGCGCGCTTTTAGGAAATCCTATACACTACTGTTTATGCTCTAAAAACATTCTAAATGACTTTGTTTCGAGTAAATTATGGACGCTACCCACTCAGGACACTTGGAATACATTGGACGAGCAGTATGGAGGAATATTGACACGTTTTTTGTGGACTTTTATGGACCTTTCTGTCTCGGGCGCTGGGCACCTCCATTATTTGAATGTCAGCAGACAGCAAGAAGCCTCCCAGATCTCCAGATGCATTTGAGATATCAAAAAAGTACTCCAGAGTGTTGTTCAGCATGGGGGTGAGTAGAAAATGAAGGCTAATCATGTTTTGGGTGTACTATTCCTTTAATGTCAACATGCGTTGAAATGCATATTATTTTTTATCAGTTTAGTTTTTGACTGTGTTGATATTCTCCACTAAAGCGAATACAGGATTGGGAGGAAATCACCAAGTTAAACAGAGTTCCAATTGGGGTCAAGTGGCAAGAGGAGCAGTGAGAAGAAATAGAGGGAGAGCAGCTATTAGAAAAGGAAGATAGAGCGGCAAAGAAGCCTCCCAGATCTCCAGATGCATTTGAGATATCAAAAAAGTACTCCAGAGTGTTGTTCAGCATGGGGGTGAGTAGAAAATGAAGGCTAATCATGTTTTGGGTGTACTATTCCTTTAAGGAATGCCAGATGTGATTTTTTATTTTTTTATTTTTTTTTTTGTGGTCTCTGATATAAAGTTAACTGCTGACACAAAACTTTGTTGTAGGATTTAAACCAGCCCAGTTCTGTATCAGAAAGGCTTATTAGTCTTCTTTTAAGCCATGTCTCTGAAGTAAATGATCAATTGTCCTGTCAATAGATTCTCCAACTGGAGCTGCAGATCTATGCTTTCTGTCACTACAATCTATATTTTTCACCAATGGCTTAAACAGAGCTGTGAGATATTAAAAGCTCAGGATATTGTTTTAGAAACTAGCACTGCTTTAAACTTCTCCAAAACCTTTTCCCTGACAGGTTTACTCAGCTGGTAAGTTTGGTAAATTGCGGAAGGATGAGCAGAATTTTATTTCGATTACAAAACAACAACAAAAATGTCATATTTCTTTTATTTGACAAATAACTAATGTCTTGTTCACATTACAATTTTTTTTTCTGTAAAGTCACAAACTGTGAGCTTTAAGAATTCTTTGTAAACTTAAAATTTGATAAACAGAACTTATTTTTTGAATTTTTTTACTGTAATGTCAATAAGGTCTATAATATGTTCCCTTAAAGATTTGCTGTTTTTATCTTTTTTGTCATATTTTCCATGGTTCTACAGCTTTTAAGCCAAAACAGATCTGCTGTCCTGGATTATTAACAGGATATTTCTGTGCCTGCTTTTACACGCTTTGATCTGATTCCAGGTATTTGTTTTTATTCATTCACTTATCTCTCATACCACCTTAATCCTGTGCAGGGACACAACAGGGGGGCGTTTTCCAATCTCCTGCAAGCAACCTTTTACAACAGAGAGTAACCACACAAACTCACACCTATTGTCAGTTAAGACTTTCCAATAAACCGGAGTACCTGGAACTCAGGCATGCATGAAGAAAACGTGCAAACTAAACACAATAAAGCTCAGGCACAGCATTAAAGCCTGGTTGGTAATGGCTTATGAGCTGTGTTAATGGATTTATTTTCTGACAGGTTTATTTCTGTTTATTTGCGTTACTGGCTACCATCAGTAATAGTGCTTACTTTCCCAACTCTAGTGCCTTAGCATTTGCCACAGCTTTGCACGTGCATTAAAGTTCCTTTTTTTGCGTTGAACACTACATCAGACTTAGTTTGATCACCTAAATAAACCACGGAAGTATGAACAGAATACCATGCATCTTGAACATCATCACCTCTTAAATTTTCAAACATAAGGATTGTATAAAACAATCCATCTATATATATTCATCTGCTCCCGCTTAGTCCCGTCCTGTCCTGTCAGGGTCGCAGTAGGGCTGGTGCCTATCTCTAGCAGTCGATGGGCGAGAGGTGGGGTATAACCTGGTCTATAGCAGGGGAAAACAGAGATACACACAAAGACACAAAGCCAAGCACACACTCACATCTAAGGAGAATTTAGAGAAACCAATTAACCTAACATTAATCTTCTTGGACTGTGTGAGGAAGCCGGAGTACCCAGAAAGAACCCAAGCATGCAGAATATACATTCCATGCAGAAAGACCCTGGTCAAGGAATCAAACCTGCAAGGCAACAGTGCTGCCCACTGCACTATTGTGTAGACCTGTTGTACAAATTAACAATTAAAAAGTCAAATTTCACGTCTTAGCAAGAATGAAAAGTACACACATTAACTACATTTTTGGTGCCATTCATTTAACGGTCCACAATAGTCCCAGAAATAACTTGAGTCTGAGAAAAGTAATACCGGTAATACATAAAAAATCAATGAAAGTCAGAAATTACTTTTCAACCATTCTGCAATAAAACTATTTGAAAGAATAAACAGACTTGGACAAAAATATTGGTATCTCTAGAGTGGTAAATAATGGTGTTGTATCTAGGTGCGTCCACTAATTAGCATCACAGATGTCTACTACTTACATATAATTGCATTTTTTGCACCATTTTTTCCTCCTACATTATTTACATTGCATCACTGCTGCACTTTAAGATGAAATGTCATAAAAGCTGTACAAAACCAAATTTCGTTTTGTATACACTCTGTGTATACTCTGTATACAAAATGAAAATAAATGTTGTCTAAGTCTACAAGTGCCTTCGGAATGAGTTGCTGAGGCCTTCGACTCTGACCACTGCCCAATCCTTCTAGCGCCTTTCCCAAATTGTTCCCCCTGCAGTTGGTGGGCCCTCCAGGTCCTGCAAGCAATAACCACCAGGCGCTCGCCGACAAGCCCCAACACCAGGCCTGGCTTAACGGTGGGGTCCTGGCTCCATGGTACTGAGCAACATCTTGTGCCTAAATTTCTGCCACAAGTGGAGGACTTCAAGTATGCTTTCCTGTTCATGAGTTATAATACCTGTACCAAAGACATGGCAAGCCGTGTTTCCCCGCCACGTGTTTTCTACTGGGGCAGCTGTGGTCATATTAGCTGTCACCTTCCGGCTCACAGTCTGACTCGATAGGCTAGAGGTCGTAAAAAAGCCAAAATGCAATTTGCCAAACTATACATTGACAAGACAAAAGGCTTCTGGGAGAATGCACTATGGACAGATAAGACAAAAAATTGAACAATGTCCCTACTGTGAATCATTGGACATCTGTAATGTTCTGTGCAGCTTTGCTTCATCTGCTACAGAGTGTTTTGAATCTCTCCAGGGTACAATGAGTCTCAAGACTATCAAAGGATTCAAGAGAAAAATGTGCTGCCCAGTGTCATAAAGTTTGGTCTCAGTCGCAGGTCAAGGGTCTTACAACAAG